AACAGCCTCTCTTGTTCCAGCTGTAAAGTAACTTCAACCGCAACCTTATTCTAGACAGACTGGAGATAATTTACTCATTTCTGTTTGATAATCCCCACTTCATCTTTTTTACAAGATTTTGAACTCTGCTGCTCAATAAATCCTAGAGATGGGCACAGCAAGCACAGGAACGCAGCTGATGAACAACTATCAATCCTGAAAGCACAGCCAGCAACCACATCCAACAACAATACGCGTTAAACTCAGGGAAGTGGGGACAGGCCTTTGACATTGGCACAAGGGGAAAGCAGCCCTGCAGCGCCCAGCACACTCATTATTCCTCAGTGTCATCATTCACATGACAATAGGCAGCCAGAGGCTCCTATCGCCCCGGGTGCTTCCACATTATCTTCAGGAAATAAAAACCCACAACATCCCACACAGCAGAACATCCTCCCACTGTCGGGTTTAAGAAGCTTTCACAGATGAAGCCGGATTGTGCATGTGTCTTCGAGCACGCATCCGACTCCGACTGTACACCAGAGGCTTGATCTCAAGAGCAGCACTGCTCAAAACCACCAAGCCTTCAACAGTCCAAGTTTTGGAGTATGTGATAAAGAAATATCTGTACATCAAAGTTTTGCCTCCGTTCATAGATGAAACATGAAGCATCAGTCTTTAAGCAAGCTGTTTAACACGGAATATGAAAATTTTTAAGGTTTTTGCATCAAGTTAAAGTTGTGTTTACCTTTTCCCCTTCCCCTTAACGTTGCTTCATTCTACACCATGGGCAGACCAAGTTACGCAGGAAAACGCCATTTAAGAACAAAAATCATCATGCCTAAAATTTTAGAAGAGTGTGGTTTTGAAAAACATCTGCACATAACAATTCCGATTAAATACTGAGGAAAGTAACTCAGACCTTGGAAAAAACTCTACGGCAGAGCTGAGAACAGCATCTCAACAAGGAGCTGAAGGTTTTGTTTTATGCATACATCGAAGAAACAAAGCAGACCTGTGCTGCGAGCACTCAAGTTCCTGTCAAACGTACACACTGACTTTCCAAGAAGCTCCTTCCTTCCTCCAACATCTGTTGAGGACCAGCTGTGCTCCTGCGACAACCACTTTCACCTTGCACTGGATTTTACCAGCCTCAAAGACCAGAGAGTGCCTTCTGCTGCCCGCCAGTTTTGACTAATCCACCTGCAGCCTGATTCTCTTACACAGCACACTTTTGGTCAGAGTTAAGCTCCTTTGGGTAATTATCTTGGAGGGTTTGTTGCCTGCCTGTGGTTGTCTTTTGGTCTCAATAAAGACGGCAGCCAAGTGGATGAAAGCAGTAATTCTACCTTTGTTACTGGGATCCTGTGAGAGAGAGAGAGGAGGCAAGCGACTGACTGCCAACTGGAATTTCTCATGTGCAGAGGAGACAGCATTGATAACGAGGGTAGAAAGGGAAACAGAACACCACAAAATAGCAAAAGGAAGAGACTGAAGAACGAGCAAAAGGAACTACCAGCCAAAACTCCCATGCCCTGCCCGGCCGGAAGGCTCTGATCCAGAATAACAGGATACACCGCTTAATTACCCTCGTTAAAATGTAGCCTAATTAGTTTTCTTTACAGTAGGACAGAATTACATGCGTCCGTACCGCACATGGGCATGAGGCTAACTTGAGCAGCACGTGAACACGCCACATTTCCCAACTGGAAAATTAGCACAGGTCATCACTTCTTCTTGGCCAGCAATGCTGAGCTCCTCGATGTGTGGGGAGAAATGGGTGTGGAGCCACAGAGGTGTCACACGTACAGCGCCTCTCCCCCAGCTAGACACAGCAGGGCGCCTTTTAAAGCTTTTTTTTGAGCTCCTGAGCAAGGAAGCCAGGTGCTGGAGCCAGGGAAGTGGTGGAGTCCCCATCCCTGGAGGTCTTTAAAAGACATTTAGATGTAGAGCTTAGGGATATGGTTTAGTGGAGGACTGGTTAGTGTTAGGTCAGAGGTTGGACTCAGTGATCTTGGAGGTCTCTTCCAACCTAGGTGATTTCATAATTTTGTGGAGTGCCTCACCAGGCAGCAAGCACCCCACAAATCAGACCTTCTCCTCCCCAAGGCCCTGCAGGATCATCTTGTAGGATAAAGCACACACTGAAGCCACTACTTAGGTAATTAATTCTGTGCTTCACAGAACTGACAGGCTTCGATCTAAATACTGATATCAGAGGGGAAGCATTTCAATCAGTAGTTGTACAGGTTAATCTGCTGCTCTCCTCCGCTGAGGAATCAGCTGATGGGAATGAGGGCGGCTTAGTGTAACAGCTTCAAATTTACACTCAGACTGCACTTCCTCAACGCTACTTAACTCCAGTCGCTCTCCTTATAATTACACATTATATATTACACATATGCATGAGAACACATATTTGAGTACCTTTAACAAAAACTAGCATCAAAGATGATACGCCAGCCTGCAAGGGCTTGCTACAGCCAAAGCTGTTGCCTGCACCCCCTCAGTGGATCTACTTTACCCAATTTTTCACAAACTGCAGCAGACTTTTTAAAAATACAACACATTAGCCTGTTAGGGAAGATAAACATGACATTAATGGTTGTTATCATTACGTGGCTAGAGGGGCAGCACCACTATTGGTACTGAAGCTTAGTGGACAAGCTGAGAGAATTAGTCAAAGTTTCGGCTCTGAAATAAGACGAAAGGCACTCACACTGCTCTACCACAGGAACATTCTGCGTCTGTGAGGCTGGAACAGGCTACACAAGAGCAGAGAGATGCGAGCAGCTTGTGCAAATTACTAAAGGTTTCACCTGTCACGGTTCACCCATTTTAAGAAAATAAGGAGATTAATTAAAACCCAAGATTATTTTTTTCCACAACTGGAATGCTAAATTCTGCAGAAACTCAAAATCCTCTGAATTCTGCAAATAACTCAGAATTCTCAAAATAACTCAGAATACTGCATAGTTACTACTATATTAAAAATGTACACCCTAAACAGTATCTTCTTTATCTCTGGAAGAAAAATAAGAGAGTATCAGTAGTTACTTTCTAGTTAGCAGCATATGATCTAGCAACTATAGCTCAAACCTACATTTTCTGGTGTTCCTCAGCCTCAAAACTGACATCCTTCCACTAAATACACTGTTCCTCTGAAAACGTCTCACTTGTTACCATTCCATTCCTGGTGCCAAGGGAAAAAAAAAAAACAAACAGCCAGAATTAGCACTCAAGGTCCACACCTGAAGCAGAGCTTTGAATATTCAGCTATGTTACAGCCAGTGCATGAACTTTTGGGTTGTTTTACTCACTTTTTCTTTAATATAGTTATAGGGAACTCCAAAAGGTTTCCTAAAAGAAAGCAAGCTGAATAACATAATTGAGAGCAAAGGGAAAAAATGATGCCTATATGGAAAAATCCAGAGGAAGGGAGGGGGGGTGACCTTCAGTCTGACAACACCCTGTCCCCTTCTGATTCCCTCCATGTACTTATTTCTCCCCATCATCTCTCTTGTAAAATGAAACATTATTAGAGGTTTTCTTCCTTTCTGAACTGGCCATGAACTGTTCCATCAGCATGTTCTCCAATGCTGCGTTAGCTCCCGCATGAATTTTTGCTTTCTTTGCTCTGTAAGGTGCTTAGTTTCAGTTCTCCGTACACACCTTTCTAGCAGCGAGGTGAACATTGTTTTACAAAAGGAGGATAAAATGAACTAGAAAATTTCAGCAGTCAATAAACTGCCAAGGAGAGAGGTTAGAGCCCTAGCATCCCGATCCTTGGGCTTCCAGACAGTGCCTCCTGCATCATCACACGTCTTTTCAGAGAGCGCACAGAGCAACATAACAGCTGTACACCAGCACCTGGAAGTGCCACTGGCCATAATCTCTGGGTTACAGATGTAATAAGATATTACGGTGCATGCCAAAGAAGGATTACTCCTTTGTAAACTTTAAATCAAATCAATGATCCCCCTAATAATATTTTTCATTTGAAGAGGAAAATAAAATTCAACATTCAAAAACCCACATGAACTGAATATGATGTATACCGGTTCCAACACAATGTTCTTTTAAGTAAACGTACAGCTCACCTTTTAGACTCTTCTGTATGCTGTTTTTCCCCTTTAGAAGCTTTGACCATTTTATTGCTCGCCTTGTGAGTACCACCAGGTACCTGGAAAAGAAAGCTTCGTAGGATGCGTAATCAAAGTCGTCTGGCCTTTCAAATCCATATGGATCAACCCTATAAAATAAACAAAAAAATAAAAGAATTCTTGCACAACTGCTTCTACATACCTTCAAGTGAGGGAAGAAAAAAAAAAAGTTAATTATGCTTTAAATAACTTCCAGCTGCTATTTCTAAACGCAGCTCTCCTCCCAGCAAACACTTACTTTACACAGGCTGCACAGCGTATCCAAGCTGCTTAAGTAAATGAACTTAAACACGCGCCGTTCAGGCGGTTTTACAGATTTCGCTCGCTTTAGAAGCGAGGAATTTTTAGAGCAAAGGATCTGCTGTGTGCAAAACTGACCCAAATTACGACCGCACGGAAGCCCGGGGTGCATTTCTCTCCATAACACAGCGCCAGCAGGGTGGGAAGAGCCCTCCGGGATCACCTGGTCCCACCACCCCCCTGCCACCACCAGTGTCACCCCCTGCCCCATGTCCTCGAGCACCAGGTCCAACCTCTCCCTGCACACCCCCAGGGACGGAGTTTCAGCCTACCTGTACGCCCAGTCCCGGCCGCCCTCTGTCCCGGCCATCGGCCCCCTCCGGCAGGGAGCCCCGGCCGGGCTCTCCTCAGCCCGAGCAGCGCCGCCTCGGCCGCCCCATGCGGAGCTCCGCCGGCTGAGGGGCGGGGGCGGCCGCCCGGATCCGCCTCCCTCCCGTGCTGGGGGCCGGGCCCGTGCCAAAACGGGGGCTGCCGGGGGTCCCTATGGAGCTGGGGGACCCCCAGAGGGCGAGCGGGGCGCCCCGGGGCAGCCCCCGTCCTGCGGAGGCCGGAGGGGCCGCCGCGGGCAGCCGCCATTTCGGGGTCCCCCCCGGTGGCTGCTTGTGAGGGAAGGTCCCGGCATGAGCCCCCCTGCCCTTGTGCTTCGGTTCCTGCAGGCACTAGTGCTCCTCAGGACTAGGTTCTGGAGGAGATAGACCTCATTAAAAGTCAGTCATTTTTTCCCCCAACTCCTCAGGCTGCCATACAGGCTTCCATTTAACTTTATTTCCCCAAATAACTCATGGCACAGCCAGTGCTTTGCTACATCGAAATACGATTAACTTCAGCTTCTGCTGACTTCGTTTCCACCTCAAACTAAATCTACAGGGGCCGATCGTCAAATACATACAGAGTAATAACACCACAAATATTAATGCCCAGAAAGGCTTCCCTGTTTCCTGAGCCCGCCTCTAGCATTAGCATACTGCTCCTCGCCTTTCTGAGGCATGGAACAAACCCCAAAACTCACACAGACCCTGCACTGTCTGGCTGCTGGCAGCGTACCTCGTACTGTGCTACAGAACAGACGGGAGAGAGGGAAATTATATTCCTGCTTGTCCTTTTTTAATCAAGTTCTGACTTTGCACCAAGCAAGCGCTTGGAAACTTACAGCTCCTGCCAGGGAAACATTATCTAGTCCAGCCAGCAAGTCATAGTTGCTGAAGACAACAGATGGGATTTCGGGAGGGAGATCAACAGTTGTTCCTTCCCAGCACACTCCTCAAGAAAGCTGCCTCCTCTGTGTGGGATCAGAGGCAGGCACCCACACAGCAACATGGATGCAGTTGGGCTCCGACAACAGGGAAAAATCACGGAGCTTCGCGTTTGTGTCAGCTGCCACCACCGAGCTGGGACTAGGAGGCAATGCTGTCCCACCAAAGGGAAAAGGGACCCTTGCCTTCCTCCCCCAAATCCCCAAGCCGCAGCACTTAGTTGTACTTCGTCTGCAAAGTGTGGGCTGTGCTGTGCACGTTCCTTCTAAAGTGGTTCCGTCAAAAATCCCCCATGAACAACAGGTTACGTCTCTGATTAACTAAGGGTACACCTGCAGCACATCAAGGACAGCCTTTGTGTGTGCCACGGTGCATTTTTACCATCAGCAAGCCTGAAATGTTTTACACAGTTCCTGTGCTGATGTTCCTTTGTGGTGCGCTCTGAGGTATGCTGGTTTCACAAAAGGGCTCTCTCAACTTCAGGCAGCTCCTATTAAGAATCTTTCATCTCAGTATCATGGCTGATAAGGTGAACCAGCCTCCTGTCTGGCAAGAGAATACCTTGGTTATCCTTTATAGGGTGTCAGTGCTGCTCTCTCCTGGGCAGATCATATCACACTTTTTTTTTTTTTTTTAAGGCATCCAAAGAAAGAAACACATAAAGTCTCAAATCTGCAAACTGTGTGTGCTTGGTTTCTGTTTCACAGGGAAGGATACCAGTGACTTTTGATCCCTGCTTCAAGGGAGCTGCTGACAGGGGCAGTGACAATGCAGGAAGGCAGTTTTGGGACATTCAGCCCAGAGAAACACCTTCCTGATTAGTGCCTGGCACAAGGGGAATTAACCTAATGTACCTCCCCCTGACCCCTTTCATCCAGACCCTTATCCCTGAAATTTTTACATTATGGTGAACACATTTGGTAGAAATCCTCGCCTCGCTGCTCACCAGAGTAAGCCCTCAAAATAGGGACTTCCCTTTAAGGCTAGGCATTTAGCTCTGCTCGCTGCAGGGCAGATAAACACAGCCGAGTAGTATTTCACATGCTGCGGCATTCACAGCTTCGCTTGCCTGCATTGCCCTTGCCCCGTGTTTTAGTGAGGAACATTTCCATATCTGCGACCACCACATGTGAGAAACACCATTCCCAGCAAGGCCAGCAGGTCTGCTTTTCCAAATCCAGGTGGGAAGTTTAAAAAAAAAGCCTAGTAATTCACAAAACAGTTAAAAGCCCCTGTTCAGAAATAGCACATGCAGAAGCATTGGAGGGGACATGTGAGGTTTGCCAATGCTTTAGCCAGTCCTTAGGGAGGGTCTCATCCCTTGGACAGAGTGCTGAGGGGAGAGCATGAGTTCACCTTGAGAGATCACCTCCAGCACAGCAGGGAAACCCCATGTGGTAAAGAGCATTTAACAGAGTATTAATTAAGAGTATGGAAAGAGTAGTGATTCCTGCATAGCAAGTAGTTAGCAAGTCATGGCTGAGGATTAAAGCAGAGTGTGAAGTATTTTATAATGATACTGTGCTGGACTGCATGACTCTCTTTAGCAGCTAAAGAGCGATGACCAGAATAGCTGATGTCAATTCATTGTGAGATGCTGTGAACTCAGTTAACAGAACAGCCCCGTCCAGACTGTTTAAGGAAGTAACAAGATAAATAGGTAAAATTACCCCACAGCTAAGATTAACACACATCTCAGAGAACAGGATTTTTACAATACTTATGGATCTGAAAACAGGAACTTGGAATTAAAATACATTTCTGAAATAAAATTTTAAATTGCTGCTGCTCAGAGAATGTATCGCTCGTACAAGTTTGTGGCTATTAATGCTGGATTCCCTAATACCAAAGCTGGCAGGACATCCAAGAGCAATGCAATCTGCACGCACCAAAGAGTGCAATAGCTCTTGGCAAAGCGTCCAGAAAACGTTGCTACCTCTTTGCCATGAGCAAACACACACGCAGGCACAAAAAGATCATTCTTACTGGTAACTGGATGTTCCAGTATCCTAAGTAAGCGATGAAACTCACAGCATACATTCCCCTTGTCTGTGGGGCTTATCGTGTAGACCTTCATTTCTGTGTCTGTATTTAGTAAACCACTCCAAGCAAGCCTTGCTGGAGCTCTTCTCTGCACCCATTTAGCTTGACTAATTTCATATGACGGGAAAAAACTGCTGTTCCCTGCTTAGGAAAATGATTTAGATTAGGCAAATTTGGCAATATAGAAACATCCACTAAGAAGTGAAGATATATGTGTATATATATGTATATATATTAATCATTGGAGGAGTATCTTCTCGCCTAGGCACAACGTGCTGCAGGACCAGACAGCTCGTCCATCTGGCCAGGTTAAGGGATGCCACCATCACATCCTGACGCCTTTGCTTCGTGTTATCACCACCTACCCACCCGGTTTAGTCAACCTCCAGCCTACGTACGGACCGAGTCTCTGGACGGGTAATGAAATGCTGAACTTGCTCCATATTTTCGTCCCAGCAAATTGCGTCATGCTTACATAACTGGTCTGTGGGCCTGATTAAACCTGCTCATGTGAAGTGTTCCAGCAGCAATCGCTGAACTTTAGAACAGGCTGTAGAGCAAGGACAGAAACATATATTTAAAAAAAATAATAATAATTTCCTCTCTTCCCTGAAGGCTTCACAGCTTCACACTGATGCAGGTTGCTGGCTGGCAGGACAAGCTACAAACCCACGTGTAGTCTTGAACACGCCAGTGTTTTGATTACTCTCAGTATGACTGTGGCCCCAGGAGTCAAAGCATACTGATATGAGCAGCTATAAAAAGGAGCTCTGAAGCTTGCTGCCTACCACCACAGCCGCCTGGAGAATCAACATTACCCGTGGAAAACTCTGCAGAAGGGTTTTTGCACTCAGCTGCCATCCTCCAGCTGCGTCAGACAAGAAGGCTCAAGGCTGTAAGTGACAGTGCTGGGAACAGCAGGGAAGAGAAATGATGTGGCAGTGCCCTCGATGTGCAAAACACTGCAAAAATATATGTCAGGGGTGATATGAAAACAGTACTTGAACGTTAGGAAGCGTTCCTAAGACAGAAACAGGAATGACCTTGCGAAAAGTGAGCAGGTCTGACAGAGCCGTGACCCCATGGAGTGGAAATGAATGAAAGAAATGAGAAGTTCGTACTGGCTAATTGCTTGATGAATCTTGGGTCAGGCTGAAACTTCAGAAAATGTGTTTGTGATGCAACCTGACAAAGTATTTTCTAAATGCCTTTGCTTTGTTTTGTTTTGTTTTCTTCCTTATCTACTTGAATGGTCATAGGCAGTGTGCTGAAAGCAATTTGAATTCACACTGGTGCTGTTTAATTTCCTCTGGCTGCATGAGTGCTGTGCTTCTAACTGAACCTTGAAATTCCTCAGGGAACAGTAACTCCCTTTTACTTCTCCCCACCCTCCCCTCCCCTTTTTTTCCCCATCCCTATTGAGCTTGTGAAGATACCTAGCTGACTAGGGATGCACTTTTGGGCATATATCTGAACATCCGCTCAGTGCATGCCCTGATTTTACATGCTGTCCTGGCTCTGACAAGTGAAAGCAAGCCTTCTGCTGGCCTTCTGCTGCTCTGGGACTTGTGCAAGGACTCTCATTACAATTGTCTCAAGCACTATCCTGTTCCACCAACAGCAGGCAGAGTTATCGTTACAGGCGTTTAAATGCAATCATTTCATGTAAATGCATAGTGTAAGCTGTGAAGAACATTGTTTATTTTCCTTGTCTCTTTTCTGTTAAGGGTTTCTCAAAAAATCACACATTAGGGGAAAAAAATTCCAGAAAATGTTGAAACAATTTGGTGTAAAAAGGAAAAGCTGTATAGCTGCCCATGCAATGGGAGATGTCCATTCCTTGCATGGAATAAGGCAGCAGAAATACAGATTATCCTAAATTTCTGTAATTAAATAATATTTCAAAATGCAAATGTGCAAGGACACTGAGTTTAGGTCAGATCAGCAAATTGCCTTTCTGCATGTTCCCAAATTCGGAGTTTTGAACTCCGTGCTGTGCTCCCAGGGACGCTGCTGTCCATTGCAGCCTTCTGCACGCGTGTTCCCCATATGCTTTGCAGACTCATGGGCTCAAAGAAAACTCAGAAGTTTTGTGAAAAAACAAGCTTGGGGTTGACAGCAGGAGTGGCTGAAGGTCCTTTCGACCACAGGATACAGCAATAACCATCTGTGCCGATAAGCCTCGGTATTTGCATGCAATCAAGAGATCGGCTGAAATAGCTCATGTTATTTTTAAATTCCTTTGGAAGCTAAGAAACTTTGATTGCAACAGCCAAGATCAAATTATGACTTCTCTCTGGCATACTTTGCAGGTCACAGATTAAATTAAATGGCTAATACTGGGGGAAATGCTCGATTCTCACTTGGTATTAATTTGCGGATAAATGTCCCCTCGAGTTAACAGGAATAATTTCACTGATACGTCGTCAACATGTAAATGAATTAATTTAAATTTCATTTTAATATTTTGAGTATTTCTGATACTGGCCTTTCCCGTCACAAAGTAATCAAGCTGAGAAGAGATGTGTAGCATTGAAAACAATCAGCAACTTTTTGGTATTTCCATGGTTTGCTGCGTAAGTAGTTATAAAAATGATACGTTCTCATCCGGATGTTTGATCTTTTTCTCCACTGAAAGTCTAGCTCAATGTCCACAATGTTTCTTCAACTGAGAAATTTTATTTTAGCTACGTGTGAACTTAGGAAAAATGCACAACTTATTTTGCTGTTATTATCCAGTAAGCCATGGCAATCATTGTGTGGACAATGCTGCACATTTCTATTGTGTCTGCAACAAGCATCTGGTATTTCTGTATTTTCATATTTCTCAGCAACATTTTTTTCAATAATTTTATTCTCAGAAACTATGATAGCATTACCTTTATAATCATTTCCTTTTACATTTACATATCCCTCATACAATAGCTTTTTGCATTTCAATGGCAGCAAAAATGTCCTGCACAAAATTTGCTGAGAACTACAGACTTCCAAGTACCTAATGCTTCTTTATATATGTGTAAATGAAGCAACTTTCAGCAAAGAAAGGTTGGATTCAGCCCCACAGAAATCACAGAGGTGGCAAGGAAGGGGCTGAGTATTCATCATACCTCTCTTGATCATTTTCAGCTTTTAGTTGCAGCCTGACCCAGTCCCGTGGGCTCAAACGGCCGCGGTGGTGCAGGACCAGAAGGTGTGCAAGCCACTCAAGGAGAAGAGATGTCTGTCCTCCAGCACTAAAAACTCTCTTTTGGGCCTTCACCTAAGTTCAGAAAGTGATTTCTCTCTCTGGCTCCAGTGCCCAGCTCCAAAGACCACCAAACATTGCTGCAGCAGCTCAGAGCCCCCCAGGCCATATGCTAAAGCAAGTCAGCTCTTAAATGTGAAGGCACAGCCACAATTTTACTTGGAACTTGAATAGTCTAGGAAAGCAAACTAAAAGGAGCTGCAAGTAGAGACAAAGTAAGTTCAGCCTGCCTACCTGTAGAGAAGTGGCTGTTGCATTGGCTATTGCTCTGCAGAACACTGCAGAATTGGGTTTTGTTCGTTTCTTTCATTCATTTATTATTACTGTTTTTTTTTTTTCCTGCACATCACAGGACCAAATACAGCTAACAGCAAGTTTTCAGGTCACACACCTATATGCAAGCTGAGAATTGAGTGGTCAGATACCAGGAAGATGGACAACATCCTGAGAACTTCCTCATACCAACTGAATGCTTCAGAAAAGAAAAATAAAAGTTTCCACAAAGGAGGTGGTTTAGAGCCTTCTTCTAAGGAGAATTCAGCCTCTCAAAGTACACCACCAGTATTCCTCAGGGTGCCTGGGGCTTCCTCTGGATGGAAAAACACTGGTAGCTGTTCAGGTTGCAGTGGCTGCCTTTTAGAGTACCGATGTGTGGTTACTGCAAGCGGTGATTAGTATTCCCAGGGAACTGTCTCTTATGAAACGAATACCAGATTAGCAAGGTGCTGTATCTCCCACAGCAGTGACAGCGTGTCTCTGGCTGTACCATCCATATTCCCACCGGAGAAATCTGTCACTGATCCTTGCAGGCAAGCTTTTGTGGTGATAATAAACAACACTTTAAAAGCTCACAGTTGCTGTAAAGAGTCCTCATCAAGAGGACACTTGTAACGAGGCAAGAGACGGCCCTGATGTACCGTTTTCTAGGAAGAAATAACGATTAGGTAACACTTACATAAGCAGCAATGGCTGTTTTTAGCTTTCCAATGGTCTATTTTTCCTTTCGAGCACCCTCCAGCATCTTTTGTAAGTGCTTCTGCCTGTGCGTAATTGGCTTTGGCGACTTGTGCTTTGCTGACTCGCAGAGCTACCTTTGGATGCTCTGGTCCAGAGTGCATCCAGCACTTCTTGCTGGATGCCTTTGAAAACCAGGGTAGTAATACCAAATAACATCTGAGAAATTTGCAGCAGATGATTGCAAAGAGCAAAACTGCGAGTGCTGAAATGTTGTTAAGATGCATGTCTCGCTGTTTATATTTGTGCACTTACCTTTAATTAAACTAAAAGCCTGTGTTGGGCAAAGGCATCTGGGGTCCCCTCCCTGAACATACACACTTGGAGGCAGTAATTGAGCTAATGGCCTGTGCTATTAAAGACAGGCAAAAATAGTTTAGAAGCAGAGAGGCAAAGTCCCTCTGTGATGAGCGTGAGAACTGAAGAGGCAGGACACCACAGGAAATGATCACATTGGGGTTTTGCATCTCTGAGGGGGATTTCTGGGGTGCCACCCTCCACCCAGGCCTCTCACCACATCGTGTAAGTGACAGCAGACCCTGGGTTTATTTTTGTAAGCCGTAAACCTGGGCGGCAGCCGAACAGTGGTGACAGGACTCCAAGACCCGGGTGCTCTTGGGCTCCGAGAACCCCATAACAACATCCTCAACCTCAGCTGAGCCAGGAAGCCTTGTGCATTTTAGAAAGGTCAGAGGTAATGGCACAAAGAGCATTGCAGCAGTGCGGCTGGGTTTGGTCAGGCAAAAATGCTTTTTAAAATTTATTTATTTATTTATTTATTTATTTTCCAGCTAAAAAATGCTGTGCATGCAAAAGAATTTCCCAGAGGTATTGCCTCTGCTCCCCTTAGCTCTTTTCCTGTACTCCCCACAGGACCCACAGTCCACTGTGGGATCGAAGACAAGCATTGAACACCTTGAAATGAAGCAGAGCCTTGCAAAGAACCTTCTGAGCAGAAATCAAGAAGCTATTATCAGAGTATTATCTCTCTGCACTTGTGCATTTCTCCTTTCCTGATGCTGTAGGAAAACCCAAACCATCCACAGTGGGGTTGGTACCACACTGGAGAACAGGAGGGATGCAAAAAAACCCTTTCCCTCCCCTCCCCAGAATGTTATACTCACGTGGGCACTGAATTGTCACCAAGTTTGAGGTTTGCAGCCAGAATGCAGTATGTGTGCTTATTTGGGTAGCTGATCAAAATAGCATATTGAAAATGTTTTTTGAATGTCTGCAAGTGTTTTTGGTTTCCTCTTTTTTCTTTTTTTTTTCTCTCTCTTTTTTTTTTTTTTCTCTTTCTTTTAAACCAAATAACAATGAAGCTTCAATATGGAAAGACTACTGTACTACTGAAAGTTTTGTTTGTGTTAGGGGTCCTCCCAGGAATTCATGAGCAGCTGCATGTTGGAAAGACATCCCTACGCATGTGGCTCCTGGGAGGGCTCAGAAATCAGTTTTTGAAAAATAAATGGAAAAATTGACCCCGGGAGCAAGTTCTCTATGCTTCTTGGAAATATATGATTCACATCCCAGCCTCATTTTGTAGCCCTTGGGCGGGACAGAAATACAAGGGGAAAAGGTAGGAAAGTAGAAAGGGCGAGAGGGAAGCCTGCAATGGGAAATGGGTGCGTCACAGGATGAGCTTAGGGTAAGTGGAGTTTCCATTTGGGCAGTCAGGGGAAAACATGTCTTTCTGTGTGTATTAAAAACATGCTTTCCGACTTCATATTTTTACTAGCTATTTGGTGAAGGAGTCCAGATGACATTACAGTACAGATGTGTGTTATGAAAACCAGATATAGAAACCATGACTTCCTCAAAGTATGTGGTGATTCAGTGGGGGCCAGACTCAACATTTTTGCCCTCCTGGAGGAATTTCATTCATGATGGCCCAGAGACTAATAACACTGCAAGCCACTCCTCAAATTTTAGTTGTGGACCGAGCAGGGTGAGCTTTGAGGTCAGTCAGCCAACACGGGTATCTCTTCATGTTGGTGTATTGATAAAGGCCATAGGGGGAATGAGAAAATTAAATGACAGCATGATCATCGCATACCCTTATTTCACTATCCTATCCTATCCTATCCTATCCTATCCTATCCTATCCTATCCTATCCTATCCTATCCAATCCTATCTTACCCTATCCTACCCTATGCTATCCTATCCTATATCCATGCCCAGCACCCAGTTGCTCATGCAGACAAAATTAAGCACTATGAGAGAGGCCCTAGGGAGGCTGAGGAGTTAAATCTTCCTTGCCACCTTCGCACGGTATTTGTGTATCAGATTCCCTTAAGGATGCCGGGCTTTTCCCCACCTCGTCAGCGAGCAGCCAGGCTCCAAATGGAAAACTCGCCACCTGCAGGCCAACGGGACCACTCGCAAGGACCTGGGAACAAAACAGCCCCAGAAGCTCAGGGGGATTTCCTTTTAGGATTTCCTCTTTTCTGCTCCGGCTAGCAAAATGATGCTGCCCTTTGGGCGATATCCCAAGGAAGTTTAGAGGGTCTGCCTCTGGAGCTTGACCTGACCTCATAAAAACGCAAGCATGGAGCTGATGATCTTCTACAGAAGGCTTCACCCACCCTTGCTCACAATCTCCCCATGCATAGTCGGTGCCTTGGCTGTAGGGTTCCTGCCCCTCAAGTTTCCCAACCCAAGCCCTAGCACCCTCTCCCTGCTCCTAGAAATCAGCAGCGGTTTCCCCACAAAACATATTTTTGGTGAGAACATACTGTGTCTTAACCATTTTATATTTTTTTTTCCATGGAAACACGTTTTCTTTGGGAAAGATACCAAAACACAGTGTTTTGGGAAGCCTGAGCTTGCTTTGTCAGGCTGGAGGAACGTTGCTAGAATGTGTTTTTCTATTTGAAATAAAGAGAAAAGTTGCTGTGTTGCTGTGCCTGCTTTACTGTAGTGATCAGGACCTCAAGTAAAAGGTCAAGACCAGAATAAAATGCTTCAGTTTTATAAAATTTTTCCTTGCACCCCTTAAAAACAAGAGGCCGGGGCGAAGCAGCCTCAGTTTCACCCCGTTTTGAGTAGAAGCTATCCCACAGCCGCTGACAGGAAAACATATAAATACTGCAGAGGAAAGAGAGGATCTGCAGGACTGCCTTCACCACCCTTGTAAACCGTGCCCTGAATACCGTCACGCAGCACACTAATGAGAAACAGCCGGGCCTTAGCATGCCTCCTGCCCCTAAATCACCACACATTTGGCTTGGCTGGGCCTAGTGCCTGTGAGCAGGGCCCAGCCCTGTTTATGGCTTCTTCTGGCCCTTAGGATCAGTTTGGTGTGGCCTTGTCCCACCTCTAGCTTCAGCTGTGGGAGGACACAGAGAGCAGCCACCAGGCACGGTGCAGCCCAGAGAGATGCCAAAGCTTTGGGTGGCTGCTCCTGGTTGACTTAATTCACTCTTACAATACTTCATCGGGCATGCAAAGAAGGATGTTAACAACACTCGTAGTGATCTCACTGCTTCAGAAGCAAAGCCGAAGCTGGTTTTCAGCCCTGAGAAAGCAAAAAAGAAAGACCCAGGGAGGTTGTGGAGTCTCCTTCTCTGGTCTGGAGATATTCAAGGCCCATCTGGACACCTACCTGGGCCACCTGCTCTAGGGAACCTGCTTTGGCAGGGGGGTTGGACCTCATGATCTCATGAGGTCCCTTCCAACCCCTACACTTCTGTGAAGTCTGAATTTCATGTTTCTGTTTGCCTAGAGCTGGACACTGGTGGCGTGCATTAGAAAACAGTGGCCACTTATTTTAAAAAGATACCTGCAAAAATCAGTGAGCCGATCTGCTGCTTCCAGATGGATCCCGAGAAAAACCCTCTGAAGAAGAAGGAAAAATAGACAAGAAGGAAATAATGAATGTAACTTTCCCTCTGAGTTTTCTCCTAGCCTGGCAGTTTCAGGTGGGATCTTGGCCCCCAGCAGGCGGTGGCACATCCACACACTCACACGTTTCAGGCTGCCATGGCCCAAGGAACTTACGCCTCGAGTACCCAAACACAGGCACAGCAGAGGATGCAGTGCGTCCTGCTCTCTTCAAAGCCATGGCATTTACACAAGCAACGCTCTGCACTTTATAGCTGCTCGCAGCTGCCCCACGAAGCTCAGCCTGTGCCAGATCTCTCGGTTGAAAGGAGAGCGGTTTGCATACCAATGAGGCACGCACAGGCTCCTTCCTTGATAATGACAGGACGCCGACGAGCCCGTTAGTTGGCACATTTTTATTGTCTTCATCTTCCTGACACACAAGACTCGGTGCTACAAATAAGTAACCCACATACAAAGGGAAACAGTTGTACTAAGAAATGTGCATGGCATGACAAGGGTACAAGCTTTCTTGTTACATGATGGGTGTCATTTGAGTGAGTTAATAAAGAAGATGTCTTTGGGGGATTTCTGGTCTTCTGCGATAATTTCCTTCAGTCTGAAGGTAGTTAGAGCTGAAACATGTTTGCTGGGACCCCGTTTGGATGCTTGGCTCAGCACAGCCTGCACTGTTCCCATTCTTTAGGGGAATGAAAGATCTCAGTAACTGGGGCTAGCAATCCAGAGCTGTGTTCAGACAGTCCTCTGCATTTGTACAAGTCCCAGGGGACACAATTATTTAACACCAGTGATGTAGCTCAACTAGACGTGGCTGTTCCTTGGTAAGGATGCACTGGCTCTGCAGCATCCAAGAGTTTTATTTCTCTGAAACTTTTCGGAAGCCCTGGGGAGCACAGCGATGGGAAGCATCTCAGCCATATAAAAACTTTCTCAGTGCCCTGCAAGGGCCAGAGGGACTGGTGCTGCATCTGCTGTGCGGCAAGTCAGGAAGTTGTGTGGTCTGTGGGTTGTGGTCACAGTTCCTCGCAGTCAAAGCAACTTGTACTGGCTGCATTCACCGGTTCCTGCACACCAAGCCTTTTGTTCACAGCCTTTTTTTGGTTAGTACAGGGCAAGTAGGTGCATATGAAGCTCCTGTATATTTCGGATAACTGGCTCAAGGTTTTAGAAGGGGCTTTGGCTGCCACACATAAGACACTTTATGGAAGAAGCATGATTTTAAGAGAGCAAGTGCTGAGCTCTTCCAAAAACTCAGATCCCTTGATAAGACGTTGGACACCCAAAGTCACTTGCCACTCTTGAAAACACAGTCCCTAACAGCTAACTGGGGGCTTTTTGAGGATAACCATTTCAGTGCATTATGAGTTATTATGGCTTAATCTTCTCAGCAGTATGCTTTTGCGACTGTATTGCACACACCCCGGAAAGCCTGCCATAGTGCTGGCTTGCCAAGTGAGAATCACACCATGCCACCAAGTTGTTCTTGCACCTGCAGCTCGGCACAATACAAGCAATGAACAGGGACAAGTCAAGGGCAGTGACAGAAGATGTGAAACGATTCCCAAAACTGCCTCAGGTCTTTCAGATTGTGAGAGGTTAAATACAGAACTAATGACTCTTTTGCTATTTGGTATAAAAATAAAAAGAAAAAAAATCACTTGGTAGGCAGGAAAGCAGATGCCCAGCAAGATTATTTTTTTCCATATATTGACATGTTGAAAGTTCTCATCAAAAACCGAAAAATGCTTCATTCTCTAAAAAGAGATGCTCGTGGAAATGAAAAACAGAAATAAAACTTAGCGGACATTACACATTTTGGAAAACACATAGGGAGTGAAGTAGTGAAAATTGGTTCTGCTAAGAGCCGGTTACACTTCTGTGCTTATTTCAAAGGCAACAGGAATCTCCCTTAGCAAAATGCTAAGTGGAAATGCTATGAGGATTCGCAGTTATTATTTTTAAGGCTTCTCTGTTCACACAGAAAAGCTCCTTTTGGATGGTGTGCGGTCCTTACCGGAATGGGAATAAGAGGAGAACTTGTTCTCTACATTTCCCTGCTGTTTCCACCACAGGGTGGTTTTTACTCCGTGTTCATCAGTGCTTGCTCGTAACGTGCTGTACAAATCCAACCATTAGGTGGAGCTTTTCTACAGCCGAGAGATGTGATCTGTGGCAGCTCGGCCTGGGAAGGATGCTGCACCGCAGGACCGAGTAATGCCCGTGGGCTGTTACCGGCTGGCCGCAGGTGGGCAGGAGAAAAGCTAAAATGGGGGGTGTGCTGCATTTTAATATGAAATCCTTGATGTTATTTTTAGTATTTCTATTGCTATCACCACTGCCATCCAAAAAAAGTACAACGGGGAAAACCTGAGATAAGTCCTGCGGCTTTAGGTCTTAGCCTCTCGTTTTTTTTGTCATGCACGACGTTTTAAAGACTGCCTAAGATGAAATTGTACAAAATGATGATACATCGCTAAATGATTTCATAGGTCAGAGCCTGAAGTGCACAGTAATTAGACTTTTGTTGCCTTTGAACAACGTGGAATGAAACAGCACTACTGGGACAAATGTTTCTTCCCTCTTCGGATGTCTGGAGAAAATGAATGACACGTTTCCTAATTTTGAGGTGGCTGGGTTGTGCCTCGTGCCTCAGCATTAGTCTGAGTTCATTGACTGGATTACTCTCCTCAGGGCTAGGGCTCTTTCTGCTGAGAATCATGCTGTTTTTATTTATTTATTTATTTTTATGCTCCTTTTCAGTTGAAAAAGACAAGAGAGGTGGAGGGAGAGTGAGATGCATCCAGAGGGCTATCCAAATGACAGGCATGGGGTATCAACCACCTCACTAGGAAGCCTGTTCCAGGGTTTGACCACCCTCACGGTAGAGGATTTTTTCCTAATGCCCAGCCTGAACCTCCCTGGCAGAGCTTTGAGCCATTTCCACACGCCCTGACATCGGTGACCGAGGAGCAGAGTCCGGCACCTCCCTCTGCTCTTTCCCTCCTCGGGACTTGCAGAGAGCAATGGGGTCATGCCTCAGCCTCCTCTTCTCCAGGCTGGACAGCCCAGATGTCCTCAACTTCTCCTCATAGGAGACTTGTTTGATCAACTGCATCTATAACAAAGCCAGGGCTTTAAGGAATCACAACTAAAACTGACAAAAATAGTAATAATAGTGATATCCTGCTTCATTCAGTGAGGGCTATGGATCTGGTGCCTTTAGATGCCTTTTGAGATGCTGGCTGCCACTGTATTTCAGTGAAGCAGAGGCAGCAACAATGTCTGGTACTGGGTCAGACGCAGTGAAATGGCAGCCTGGGAGGGCTCCCTTGCTGCCTCTCCTGGGGTGAAGGAGGCTGGGAAAAGCTCTGAGGGACTGGAGCCAGGAACGGGAAATGAAATGTTTGATGTCTGTTGTGTATGTGGCCTGGGCAAGGGTCTCACCATGGTTGGTGCCTGGTGATTTGCACAGTTTGTGCCACAGCTGATGTAGATGTACATCCTCCTCCCCGTGCTCCTGCTCTTCCTTAAATACTCCCTTCTGGAGTCTCTGCTTATCAGCAGTGCCGAATTCCCCATCAGTGTGGTCAGGAGCGGCTTGTTTTGAGCTGCTAACTGCAAGGCACTCCAGATAGTTGCCTGTGCTCTTCTGGTGATTGCCGCTGAGATTTGCATGGCCTCGCTCCCTCCTCTCTTGAGGAACTGATTGTGCTAACTCCTGACGCTCAGGGATGTGCATTACACCCAAAGACACATTCGGTGCAAATCTCCTTCATGCCTGAAGTGCACTTCAGGGAGGAACCCTCAATAGTCTCGAATGGATGATTTACCTCTTACCATCAGAGAAGAAGGCATGCTGTGATCTAACAGTTAACCCTCAGGAGATGACTCTGCCCAAACAGAGGGTGTTGCACCTTCTTCTCCTCGTGCTGCATCCATCAAGAAAACCAGGCATTGCAGTTGTGAAATGGAAGAGCTGAGGCCCCCCTGGTACCCACCGATTCACTCTCCTGGGGGGCCCCTGCTGCACACGTGGGTAATTTTCTGCTAGACAGAACCCTTTAATTCGTCACAAGGCAGTGATCTTTCAGATGTGAATAAGAGGGGGGGGAAAAAAAGCCTTTAAGTTTCTTTTGAAAGATTAGAAAAAGAATAATAAAAGCGGCTTCTCCTCTGCCAGCAAGATCTGCCTGCTGTTTTAAAAGGCCAGCTAGCAGAGGATTTACTATTCAAGTCTGGTGCAAACGCTTTATGTTGTAAGGGCTTTTCTCCAATGGGAAATGAAATCATGGACAATAAAAAGTAAATTACAGCTTAGGTTTAGTACAAAGTGGCCTTTATGGTTGCCAGCCCATAAAAGCTGCAAGGGTGACATACACCTCCGTGCAGAAGGGCAGCGTTGTACAACCGATAAATTCCCTTCAGCGTCTTTTTTTTTGAGGACACAGCGTGGTATACAAATCCACTCCTCATTTTGTGAGCCTGCAGATGCCAGGAAGCCTAACTCGTGCCATGTGGTGGACAAGAAACCAAAGCCCGAGCCTCTTCAGCAGCCAGGGGGTGACGCTGCGTGCATGTCCCCTCTTCCTCCCGGCAGCATCCCTGACCAGGCCGACCCAGTTGTCACGTATATGACTCATGTGCGTTATTCTGGCAAAGGGATTTGATCCCAGCGTGCTGCCAGCTTGCTCTCATCCTCTCTCCTTGCTGGCCACGGGTCGGGGCGGCCTGCCAGCAGGCTGGAGCAGTGGCCAGGCCGCACCCAGCAGGCTGCACGCTGCGGGAGGAGGACATCCGAAACACTTGAGGGGAGCCAGGGCCATGAGGAGCAGGACCACGATTGTCCTCTCTCCTGGGCAGCTCTGAAGCTCAGTGACACTGAAAAGATTGGGCTTTTTATTTATTTATTTATTTATTTATTTATCTATTTATTTATTTATTTTTGAGTGGCCCCACCTTTGGTGTCACAGAGCCAAGACCTGCATGGGGGTGGCTGTGGAAAAAAATGAATCGACTCTTTAGGCCGTGCCTTTAAATACCTGAATTCATCATTTACAGCACTAAGCTGAAGGGGTGCACGGCAGATTTTGGCTGTAACATCTCTCTGCCTGTCTGCTGTTCACTGAGGGCAGAGGAGCCCAGTGAGTGTGGAGCTGCCCCGTCCTCATTTCTCCAAAAAATTTGTCCCGTGCACGCTTTACACAGAAGCGGCTGTTGTGGTACACACAGAAAGCCACGGCTCATCAGCAGCGTTCAGCGGTGCTGGCTGCCTCGTGTTGCTCCTTTTCACATCAGGCTGTAAAATCAGCACTTCCTACGACTTTCAGTGCTAGCTGCAGTGCCTGGCTGTGCCCCATGCCCCATGACCCAGGCTGAGACAGAAACCCCAAGAAGAGCTGAGCTCCCCCAGCAAGGTTTTCAGTCTCTCCTGCTGACATGATCCCCCAGAGAAGTCCTCAGAGCCTTTCAGCACTGAGCTGTTCCACACTCACTTGTTGCACATTCGTCTGCGATCACTGAGAGTAACTTGAAACGGCGTGTCCCCCCCAACAATAACGCATGCAGTATGTGGCCAAAGTACCCATAGCTTCACAGGAGGTTAAATCACTATTTTTCCAATATTAATAAGGCTGAAAATTTGCATTCACGGTAAGAGCTTTTGTAACACCAACGTCCTTTGAGGATTTTTCTGCGGATAAATGAAGCGTGCCCTTCCTTCCCTCGCTCCTTCTGCTAGCAGTGCCACTCAATGCAGCCATAGACCAACAGTTCCCATTAACTGGTGAAAAGGCAGAGCCTGGAACGAGCGCTTTTTGACATAATTAAAGCTGACACTGCCTACCATCGTTCCTGGAAAATGTGCGAGCAGAGTTTCATTAGAATAAGTAAATACAAATAGAGTTCACCCTGAACAGTCGTCTTTGTTACAAACAACACCCATTAGTTAGCAAGGGGAGTCTGGAGCAGGACTGAATTCACACTGATCTCAAAGCCCTTCTCGTATTTAATTTATAAACTGATGATTAATTCAGTGATTAGCTAATTCACTTGCAGTGATTAATTTAATTCATGTCTTCGGGCTAATGTTAAGAAAGGAAAAAGCCCAGCTCGGATAGATGCACATCAATGTCCTTGTGATTAAAAAATGATAATGTAATGCCCTGGAGAGTAAAGAAAAAAAAAGAAAGATTGAGTGACTCAGTGGCACGATCAGTTGTAAGTTCTTACTTAAGCTGTAGCAGTATTTTTTAGCTGTGATGTTTAAATGTGTCAGTTACCCTAATGATCAGTGGCTTAAAAGATGAATCTAAGGGCCTTTCACCATAGCTTTCCACTGTGTACTTGGAGAATGGTGCTGTTTTGGAGCAGTCCTCCAGCTCTGCTGTTCTGTCGCTTGTTACAGCAGCTGCCTGCCAGCTAGCCTCCCTTTCAGCAATGTCTTTGTCATGCTTCACCAAATTATTTGATGAGAGTGCTTGGTACTTCTTAAATCCAGGCCGTTTTCTTCTGTTTTCAGCGGGACTTCCATCATATTTCGATGCATCAGGCAATGGGGATGACTGGGGGGATCTCTCTGTATTAGACAAACAGGTCTCTTTTGGGACAGTGTCTTTTGGGGCAGTGTCTTTTGGGGCAGTTTCTTTTGGGGCAGTGTCTTTTGGGGCAGTGTTGCTTTTACGTTTTATGCCATCACGTGGCAATGGAGTTTGAGAGCTCTTGAGGTCACCCGCAGACCCTTCTTTTCCTGAATCATCATTGTCCTTCTTCCCTTTCTTATCTGAAGACTGTAGCTGGTATTTCTCTGTTCTCAGGGCCCCACTCCTCTTTTCTGGACTACCAGCTTTATACTTCATTTTTTCATCAGATGGTGGTGTCGATTGCTTCTTTTTGGCTGTGACATTCTTTTCTTCAGGCTTCACCTGCAGGTTTGAAGATGGGGACTGGCACATCCCAGAACCTAGATATTTGCTTTTATCTTTTACATCATTTGCATCAGGCTTTTTAAAACTTTCAGTTGCGGTTTCTCGTTTTCCCAATCCTGGAGAATTTTTCCCAGGCTTTGCAGATTTACTTGAAAGGGGTAACTGATGGTTCCCACCACACTGGTGTTTATCATCCTCTTTTACAGCCTTTGTTTCAGGTGGCCTGATGTCCTCTGCTGATGGTGTCTTTTGCTTCCTCTTCCCTGAAGTAGTTTTTTCTTGGGATTTCATCCCTTTGTTTGAAGAGGGTGACTGGGGCTCCTCAGAATTTTTATCTTCATCTTTTTCTTTTACAGCATTAGTACCGGGCTTCTTAAAACCTGTAGCAGCTGATGTTTCTTGCTTTTGATCTGGAGCATCCTTTTCTTGAGGCTTAGCCGGTATTTCTGAAGATACCGATCGATACTTCTTGAGATTTGGAAACTTGTTCTTCTCTTTTGCAGTATTTGCACCAGGCGTTGTAAAATCCTCAGACCTTGTTTGCTGTTTTTCTCCTCCTGGAGTTTCTTTCTCAAGCTTTGCTGCTTTACTCGACCGTGGTAACCGATACTTTCCTGGGTGCTGGTGCTCATTGTCCCCTTTTACAGCCTTTGTTTTGGGTGACGGGATGTCCTCTGCTGCTGGTGTCTTCTGCTTCCTCTCTGCTGAAGGACTTCTTTCTTGAGGCTTCTCCAGTTTGTCTGAAGAAGGTGACTGGGGCTTCTCAGAGGTATGTTTAGTCTTTTTTTCAGCTGACTTATTTTCAGGCTTTACGAAGTCAGCAGGTGATGGTTGTTGCTGAGGGGAGGATTTCTTGTCTTGCTTCGCCAGAGGACTTGATGATGGTATTTGATTTTTAGGATCACATGAAGTATTCCTCTCCCCTTCATGACTCTTTTTGTGCTGCACCGGCTCATTTTTCAAGCCATGAAAAGTATTCTCCTCATCAGTGGTGTTATTGTCATTGCTTGCTGTATTTCTTGGCGGCGCTGAGTAATTCTTGAAGCTCAACTTCATGTTTCTTTTCCCTGCAGTGTCATCTGCACGTTTCAGTGGTTCATTTGACGGGGACAGTTGGTGTTTCTCATTATTGCAGCAGATGTTTTCATCGACTGTCATATCACGCTCATGTTTAACCATATCTCTTGCAGGTGTTGGGCACTTCAAGCCCTGCCCAGTGTTTTTCACTCCTTGAATGTTAGCGTCACGTTCTGATGAAGGTAGCTGAGGTGCCTGAGGACTATGAGCACTCCTCTCATTTGAAGAGTTGTTATCACGATCCATCGTATCGCTTGGTGTTGATACTTGTTCCTCCTGAAATTTACGTAAGACACTTCTCTCTTCTCCCTCCTCTGTCTCCATGCTCTCATTGCCATGCTTCATGGCATCATCTGAAGGCAGAGGCTTATGTTTTTTATATTTGGAGACGTTATCAGTACCTTTTGCATGCTTCTTTTGGCCTGACACCAGTTCAGCTGATGAAGGAAACAGGTTCTCTTCCTGCATCAAGGTATCATCTGGAATTTGTGTTTGGTTCCTCTCCAAGAGCAATAGGGGCTTTCTTGCTAGCACAGTTTTTTTGTCATGTTTTCCTGTTTTCTTTGTCGAAAGTGAAACATAATTATCAAAGCCCTGGAGTGTAATTGTTTCTTCGGCTGTAGCATCTTCATTTTCTGTTTCATGATTTGGGGACAGCAGTTGGTTCCTAAAATCACATTCATTTTTCTTCTCCGCTGCAGTATTGTTCTCCTGCATCATCAGCTCATCTGAAGAGGGCAGTGGATGCTTCTCACAGCCGTGACTGCCACGCTCATCTTCCACACCGCCAGCTCCTGCTCTTACCAGCTCAGTAGGTGGAGGGGCTGGGGGATTTCCAAGAGTGTGGTGGATTCTTTGTCCTGCAACCCCACTCGCTGGTCTTGTTTCAAGGTTCTCTGAGGATGACAGCCCTGTTTCAGAGTCAGGCCATGGCATCTCGTCTGCAGTGGTCTCTTCACGGTGAAGGAAATACTTGGACAGCTTGTGACAGGTCTCCAGGTCCGTCAAGGTACTCCTGCCCAGGCCTCGACTGTCTCCATCACTCATCATTTCATTTGATGAAGGTAACTGCCCCTTCCCCAAATCCTCTTCTGCGAAGTGCAGTCTGTGTTTCACAAACTCGTCTGGCAAAGGGCCTCGTTTCTTTTCCCAGTCAGAAGAGGTGGGCTCTCCTGCAGCACCAGGCTCCTGGCTCTCCTTTGAGGAGAACATAGGTTTGGTCTGATTCGCATCGGGATTTGACGTTTCAGCACCGGAATTACCAAACTCATTTTGTGGGCCAGGCATCTGAGGTGGCTGTGGCTGCCTGATTTGGGGTTCATTTTGCATTTGGCACTGGGGTGCTTCGTTCTCCTGTTCCTTTTTGGCTGGGACATCAGTGTAATTTTTGCCAGAAGTAGAGTGCATTTTGTCTTCACTGTGATATTTCTCCCCTTCTTTGGCTTCCTCAGAACATCTGCCTCTTAACCCTGGTGCCTGTTTTTGAGCTACTGGTGGCCTTTTACCAGCAGCTGGTGTTAAAAGAGTCAGCTGTCGGTCCTGCGTCGCAGGCTCAGCTTCAAAAGATGCTTGAACTCTCGGAGAGAGAAACGGCAGGGTGTTTTCCAGGGCTTTCTGCTTGGGGATACATTTTTGCATGGCAAAAAAAGGATCCTTCTCTGGCTGTGTGAGCTCTGGGTCAGCTTCCTCAGAACAAGATAAGTACATTACTATTTCAGGAATCTCATCTGCTTTAGTGTCCTGAGGACTTGGTTCAGGGGATCCTTCAGCTTTGCTAGAGTAAGGTGAGTTAGAAGGTGGACCATCGCCCTTAACATGTTGGGCAGCATTGGTAGCCCCCGGTGGTGAAGATGTACCAGGCCCAGCTGATAAATTATTCCTGTTGGAGTCCAGGCTATGCCCAGATGCAGGAGGAATGCAATCTGCAAGTGCTTTATCTTTGCAGATGGCAGAAGAGCCATCTAGATTAGGACTAAAGTCAGCTCCTTGCTTTGTGGAATCTACTTTCATCTCGGCACTGTCCTTGGCATCAGGCATCTCCTGGGGTGCCATCAGTATCTCCTCTTTGTCCTCCCTGTGCTGGGCTGCATGTGCTGCTGTTTTCTTCTCACCAGGCTTTCTCTCAGAGTCTCCCTTTTCCTTCAGCGGTGTGTTGCGATCGAGAGGCTGTTTCGCAGCGTTATTTTTCGACCAGCTCCAAGGATGGTTAATTTCAGTAGCCATGCTGAGTCTGGGCACCGGGACCATGGAGCACACCAAATATTGGGACTCGGGGCTCTTTATGTCTGTGGCTGCCAGCGCTGCCGTGCGCAGCACTCTGACCTCAGGCTTACGAATAGCTTTTCTGCTGGGGAAGCTTTTAGTCTTCTTCTCGCCTTTGCGCAAGAGCGACGCTTTCACCTCCGCTGCCGAACAGAGGGAGCTCTGTTCAAACTGCTCCTTCAGCTTGGAGAGGACCGAACTCCTGTTGACTATTTTTGGCAAGCCACTGCTTGGCCCCTTCTTCTTCCAGCTGGGAGACTTCTCCTTGGCTTCTTTCTCTTCGGCAGCCAGAAATTTCTTCAAGATGTCCTTCACTGTGTTTCTCCCACCCTGGCCGCTCCACCTGGCCCTCTCGCTGGGCGCTGTCTCTTCACCTTCTTCTGCTGCTTTCCCATCTCCTCTCCTCTCCTTGCCTCTGTCTAACTTGTTTCCAGCCCTGTTCGCCCACAGCCTCTCCTTGATGACCAGCCTGCCGACTTCTCTTCTTTTCTTGATGTAAGGCTCGCGATTGTTGTTTAGAAACCGGGACCGCAGGAGCTGAAATCGGGTAGGGTACTGCCCCCTGCTTGTGTCTGGAGACGGTTGTTTAAAACTCACCTGATTTTCTTTACCTTCCGCCCATTTGGTCCTCTTGCTGTTGAGCTGCGGGTCGCAGGCTGCCAGCTCGGTGACATACAGCAGCAGGCTGCTGAGGACAGCAAAGGCCCCTTGCTCTGTTGCCATCCTATTGAGCTTCTTCTTCAGCACCAAAGGGTCTACCAGCATCTGATCTCCACAAGAGTTTGTGCGTTTGGTGCTGCGCAAGAGAAAACACGCATGTTCTTTTCAAGGCATCAACACTGCTGCTACCTCCTTACTTTGCTTTAGTGGCATGCTACTGTGCATAAAATGGAAAAAAATACTTTGACTTTAGAGTTTTCGAGAGAGTTGGCGTTAGTGGCCTGTTAAAAAGCATGCAAGGTGCTTTACAAGCTTCGTGAGGCACCGTGTAGCGGAGTGTGCAGGCTTTACACAGCTCCCGTGGCACTGCTGGCTGTTTCTTCTGTGCTTTGTGGTAAGTGGAAGCTTTCAGGGGAGCAACAACACTAATTGGGGTGGCCACATCTCCTCCATGCCACTCCTCACTCTGATTTGGTGTTACCGTGTCCTAACACAAGGGCAACATCAAAGCTATTTTCCTCTCCTGCTAGGTAAAGGGTAGGTAAAGGTAAATACGATGAGAACACTACCTGACAAACCAACAGTCATGGCAATGTCACTTGGCTGCAAGACCCTTTAATCTGGGGCAAGAAGGCTGCTGTGTTGGATCTACCCTTGAGATACTGAAGAATCAGGCCCTGGGACAGCTGGGGATTTCGGCAATGCTTTAATCGGTGTGGATCAGTTACTAAATAGAATAGTGAACTCAGCACAAGAGCTGGAGTGTGGAGTCAATAACAATAGATGGGGCTGGAAGGGGAAAAAAAAAAAAAACAAAAACAAAAAACAAACCACAAGAGGTGTCAGCTTTCTAACACCACAAAAGTCTGGAAGGTTACTTCACCGTGCAGAGAAATAGCTTCATGCACAGAACGCAGCCTGCATACCAGGAGGGTATTAATTTTTATGAGCAGAAGCCGAATAAGAAATTCTTCAAATTAAACCCACGTGTAGAAAATGAAGAGAAGCTGCAGAGGCTCACCCTTTGGGGGAGTGGCAGGCTTGGAAGGCAGGGGAAGGCCCAGCTGTGCCCCAGCAGCTGTTCCCCCCCGGCCTTGGAAAGAAGCTGGAGCTGCTGCCCCCAGGTTTATTACAGGGGCTGTTTGGAAAGCGAGGGGCTGCTCCTCGCCCGCTCGGGTGCTGGCATTTGGGTTCCACTTGGCTGCGTTTCAAGCGCACGCACATGTCGAAAATCACATCCCCCAGCAGTGGGATGAAGTTGCCATCTTGAATGGAAGAAGGTTTATTTATAACAGCTTTGTAGCTAATTTTAGAGCCCAATAAAAGAAGAAAGAAAAAAAAAAGCGTGACAACTGGCACAGGGCTAATGTAACAAACAATACTGTGTTGGTTTTGGTTGGGAATCAGCACATTTCAACACGGCACAGGTGGTCTCTGCCATGTAACATCCACCCTTCCTGTTACTGCACACACCACAGCTGAGGGAGCCAGGATTGTGAAGGGAAGAAGATCAGGTCCTCTTCATTATAATTATTAAAATTATGACTTATGAGCTAAAAAGTCCATATTTGTTAAAATATATTGCTAGTGAGCTCTGTTCAGGCTTTTCCTTCGACTCTGTGTTGGTAACATATAAATTAGCTTGTTCTTATGGGGTGCCTTCTGAAATGTGGGACTAGTGCACTGCCCTAAGTACCACGACATGTTGCATGGGTTGAGTGTTTGACCTGTATTTGCCAGCAAGGCACAGAAGATGAGCAAAGGGGTACGGCACCTATTTAGAGCACCTGCAGCTCTTCCGAGGTGATTTCACCTACAAACCTGCATCATGACCATGTGAATCTCAAAAGCATTCTGCAAAAGGGAAGTACGCTGAGACCACCACAAAAAATGTGGGGCAATGATGATGTTGTCTCGGTGTTTGGAGAATGGTGTGCTTCCTCCTCTGGGAAGGAGGGCAAAGACAGAGGGTTTCTCAGGTACATTAATTCAGGAGTGTGACCACCATTTTCAATGGGCCAAGACATCATCCCTAATATTTCTTCACCACCTTTTCCTGCTTTGCATCCTACTGTTCTTGAACAGTGTGACCCATCAATGAAATATAGTCACCTCTATATCACCTACACATAGTCAGTTCTAGTCCCACCTACGGCTGGGAGGAGCCGGGCAGGTACTCGATGTGAGCAGGGGGAAACCCCAAACCAGCAGCGACCTCTCTGGAGAAGTCACTTCATGTTGTTCTTAGTGCCCGTGATGCTGCTCTGATGTGCTGCCCGCTTCTGGCAGCGCTGCTGTACAGATGTGTTTTTTGGTGTCTGGAGGACAGATCTCTTGGTCCTCCACAGGAGGCGAGGCCGTCTTCAAAAGTTTCCTGCCTCCTTCTCCCTCGAATAATTAAGATGCGTAAGACAGGCAGTTTACTTATTTATTTATAGGTTCTTTGGAGACACTTATCACACCAGTATCTGAGTGGCAACAGCCTGATATGCTAAGGGGCTGCACTGCAACCCTATCCCAGAGCCCGTCCTGTCCCGGGAAAACCTCTGCAGCAAGCGCTGCCCATGTGGTGGATGGAGCCAGCACTCTCCTCCAGCCCTGCCAGCACCCAAGTGCACCAACACACCTTTTGTTTCTCACTGGGGGCTCCGGGAGCTGAAGTGGTGGTGGCATCTCACAGTGCTTGCTAAAAACATGCAACTGAGGGAGTTTCTGACAGTAAGGAGTGGGCATTTTTAGTGTTTTTGATGAAATGATGGCCAACACGTTGCTCGCCTCAACAAGTGCAGAGGTAGTGCTTTGTAAATCCAGCCCTCGTGAGCCACCTTCTAAATTACACTCTCTTACTTGTCTCTGAAGCTAAACTTGGTCCTCACCAGTCTGGACATAAGATTAATTGAGGAGGAAATGGTTATGAGTGTGCTTCATCCTTTTGTGCATTTTTTTTTTTTTAAAGGAAATGTCAAAGTGCTGGTGAAGATCCTACCTGATGCAGGATATGTTCCTCTCTCTTCTCTATTGCTGAATTTATTACAGGTATGCTAGAGTCATCATAAACTAGAAGGAATGTTTTTGGGAAATCTTGGTATTATATTAAATCAAAAGCTACTGACACAAAGGGTCCTCTTTGTTTAACGTATCTCCAAAGCAAATAAGAAAGCACCTTGCAAAGCTGCGAAGAGAAAACATGCTAAAACCACGGTGTTTGAAGTAGCCCATAGGACAGAAACCTTTTTCATATGGATATTGTCATGCAGGCTTCTATTCATAACAACACGGATCACCTGCTCCTCCTTCTGCCACATAACATCCCAGTGACAATCCCAGCAATTGCTTACATGGAAAAAGGAGTAGGAAAGTACTTATGTATTTTTAGCTATCTTTTTAAAACACGCTTCAGCAGCTGGAGAAAGATAGGAGAAACCAACACCATGTAGTCAATCACTCTCTGTGGAGATTAGAAAGTGCGGCACAGACCTCTGTTTTGGAGCTTCTGAATTAAAACATGAGGGTAAACACCAGGGACAAATTCCAGGCTTAATTCTTCCATGTCATTTCACTAAGGGTTCGAGATCTGTGCCCATGTTGCTGGTATATCAGAATCTCCTTCACCCAGTGCTACTGTTTACTTTAGATGCAGATGTATGCAGCTTTTGATTGAATCATAGTCGACTGGTTTTCTTAAGACAGAAAGAGAAAGAGAAAAATAGGAGGAGGAGAAGGAGGGGAGAAACAAGAGAAGAGAAGAGAGAGAGAAGAGAAGAGAAGAGCAGAGAAGAAGCTATATCGCGACGCCCATAGCCTCTACATCCTACTCCTCTCACTCTCTCCCTCTCCTCCTCCTCTCCTCTCCCTCTCCTCTTCCTCCTCTCCTCTCCTCTGCCTCCCCTCCTCTCCTCTCCTCCCCCTCCCCCTCTCCTCTCCCCTCTCACCCCCCCCCCCTCCGAAGAGAAGAGAAAAGAAAAGAAAAGAAAAGAAAAGAAAAGAAAAGAAAAGAAAAGAAAAGAAAAGAAAAGAAAAGAAAAGAAAAGAAAAGAAAAGAAAAGAAAAGAAAAGAAAAGAAAAGAAAAGAAAAGCAGTTGTAACTGTTTTCTTTCCAGGGTTTCTGTTTCCCAGACTTGTGAAATGTATCACAGCCGTACTGTTGACCTATTACAACTGCTTGAAGACCTCAGCCAAAAATTCTGATACTGATACAGCAACATATAATCTGTTCAGTCTAAAAATAAATAATGATGCTTAGGAAATAGTGTAAGCACTAATTTATTTACAAATATTTCAGCCAGTTGTATTTTTAAAAAAGTTTGTTCTGAAGACCGAAGAACAACAGAAGTGTAAATCAGAAAGTTTGGACACGCTGATGCTTTGCTGAGCCTTGGGGGTATTTTTAGTGTTGGCTTTTCCTTTTCTGGAAGCTTGTAATGTAACAATACCTTGCACCACAGCGCTGATGCGGGGATCAGCGGTTCATTAAAGGATAATCCGTGAGATATTAGGTTTACAAGTGTCACAGACACATTAGATTTGAGAACAAGGCAGAACAGCAGTGGTGAAAGGATTGTCAAATATACAGAGAATATCCCCATAAGTGGGCACCGCCATTAGTTTTGCAGGAAAGCATTAGTTCTGGAAATTAATTTTGTACGTGTAATTACTGGTCACAGCTGTTTAGAAGGTGGTATTATAGCAAGTTAGACTGAAATCAACCAACAGAGGTTTTATTTATTTTTTTCCATTTGAGATTATCTCACGGGTTTAAGTAGCAATCATTATACTCAGAAATCCCTACATCTGTAAAAAAAAAAAAAAAAAAAAAAAGAGAAGAACACCATAAAAACCTATTTGCTCTTGAATTATTCAGCTACCTGCACTTGCACACAGTCTACATACAGCCTTTCAGACTAACTCTCAGCTAATTCCTCCACCGTTAAAGCCAGTCAGTTATCTACAGGGTTTGATATGGTCTTTAGAGAAAGAGAAAATGGCAGAAACCGCTTTACTTTTCCTGCGTGGACAGCCGGTAAAGGTTCTCTCCCAAGTACTCTAGCCTCTCCCTTTGCTCAAGGTCCTGGTACAAGCCCTTGGGAACCTTGCTCAGGCCGTACACCAGCCCGTACAGGCAGCCCGCGATAGATCCAGTCGCTGCGCTTTCTCCTGCGGGTTCAAGCACAGATGCAAAGTTCTCTTAGGGTCGCCTTCAAGTACAAAACCACAGCCCGCACTGCGCAGGGGAGGAAGGATGAAGCCACTGATGGAGCGTGGGAAGGACATAATGGCCATGCTGGGGCAGCCCCAGAGGTTTGCACGACCCTGCGTCTTGTCCCATGCCTAGGGAAGAGAGTAACACCAAGGCCAGAGCACAGCAGTGCCTCTGCGGTGTGTGCTCCTGAGCTGGAGTGGCCTCTCTGTCTCCTGGCCTTCATCAAACCTTTTCCCATGGGTCTGTCAAGTGCCTGATCACTTTCTGAGTGCAGGGAACTGTTAGCATTTACAGCATCCTTTCTCACTGTTTGAAAGGGGCATCTCCCTTGGTCCGTTTCCAAGCTTTCACCTCTCTTTGTATCTGATACCCTGTAGCTCTTGTAGTGGAAGAGACAGCACAGGATTGATCACCCTGTTTGCTTTTCCTGTGACGTTTGCTTACATTGAGGGCTAACGCTAGTGGAGGATAAGAAACTGGGAGATGCATGATAGATGTGCTGTGGTTCACTCTTCATCTAACACAATTTCAGTCACCTTGTCAGCGTGAGAAAAGGCAAGGACATGTCTGGTCAAATGAGAGACCGAGTGGCCAGAGGCAGAGGCAGGGGCACGGCCAGCAGAGTGGACAAGATCACTGCTAACAGCACAGGCTCATTACTAATTTGGCTTGGGGAAAACCCACTGCAACCCAAGAGCTCTTGCAAGCAGCTAGCCATTGCCAGGAACACAGGAACCCCTGCTACATGGCAAATACCCTGGTTTGGAGGCTGTGTCTCCCATCCTAACATCACAGCACGGAGCTGTGTGTGATTTAAAACATCTAACCCCATGGTAAGTAGCAGCGATGCTCGTTGTGGTCCTTGCAGGTTCTTGCTGGCAGCCTCTGCAGTGAGGGGCCACCACCTCCCACCACCATGCTGCAGGTGTTTGCAGTGCTGGGATCATCTTCCACAGCTGCCCTGGCCCAGGGTGCATGGCTGCCAGTGAGAGAGTTATCTCTTGCAAAATTATGGAAATATCTTATCGTGTGCCTCTAAGATTTATCTGGCAGGCACTCGATTGGGCACTGTATTATCTTTTTCCTTTACTTGGCTTCATTATACGCAGTTAAAAGGTGGCTTTGCCAAAGGGGCGAGTGTTTTGGTGTAGAAAGATGCCAACCCTTTACTAAGTTATACCGGACTTACTTCTCATGCACCTCTGGCAAAAACATGGGACTCAGATGAAGTAACATTTGACAAGGACCATAAATAGCTTGCACGGCAGCTGCTGCTCAAAGAATGTGATTGATGGCCCAGAGAGGGTGCGGAGTCTCCCTTCTGGGAGATCTTCAAAAGCCGCCTGGCCGTGGGCCTGGGCAGCCTGCGCTGGGTGTCCCTGCTGGAGCAGGGCTTGGAGCAGGTGATCTCCAGAGGGCCCTGACAGCCTCAGCCACGCTGTGACTCTGCGACGGTGTAAAACCAGGAGCCACAGAAATAATCTCAAGAGCAGAATAATGTCAAGAGCCGCCATTCACCGGCAGGTCTCCTTCCCACCTCCTGCGAGCACCCCGTGGCAGGACGGAGCAGGGGATGGGAGCCGCGGCCGCGCCCTCACCTCCGTGGAACATGGAGCGGTTGCAGAGCTCCGTCCAGTCCCCGCCGCACCCCAGCAGGGCGTCGTAGGCGATCATGGGGGCGTCGTGGCCCCGTCTCCCGCCCCGGCCCTCGGAGCTCCACCTCCGGTAGGTCTGAGGGAAAGATGGAGGCGTTAAGGTGGGACAGCAGGAAGGGGGATATGTGCCTCATAGCCCCGTCCCCGTGCCCTGGGAGTCACAAGGAGGCATTTGGTACTCCTGGGCTTCGAGCTTTTCTGCTCTGGGACTGTTTCACAGTGAGAAGACCCATGGGTTCTAATTTCACACCTTAGAAGTCCCTATTCTTTCAAAAATTGGGGTTGGAAAAGACTTACTTACATTATCGGTCTTCTTTCTGCCTCTGGGAAATGTTCTCGGCTTCCCTTGTCACACGTTTGCTAAAATTTTACTTAGCCAAGTTTTATGTGGGCATCCAAAAAGGTTTGATTTGGTAATTTCTTTAGGGACTCAACTTTCAGGCTGTGTTAGCTCAGGTCACTTTCTCTGACTTTTTCTTGCCAAGTCCATTCTTTCCCCTTCCATTGAACAACCTTGCAAATTTAAGAAACACTTCTTCCCCAGGAGAAGAAAGAAGGAAAAAACAACCAAACCAAACCAAACCAAACCAAATCAAACCAAACCCAGCAAGCTTTGCAAAAGACAGGTGGGTTTCCTCTAGACGAGGTACTTCCAGAACTCACTTCTACCTGCCCAAAATCCCCAAGTGAACTCAAGACTCTGATAAATCTACCATTAAAAATAACTTCGTTTAAAGGAAATTGGCAGCTTTAGTTCCTGGGGCTTAAGTTGCGTTATGGTAAGTCAGTTGCAGCTGCTTAGCTGGCCTGTGGTTTCTGCACTGTACGTGAAGATTTGCACTTCTATCTACTCACTTCAACCTCAACCAGTACATACTTTGTTGTGGTTTATCTGCATTTACATCACACAGGGCAGAGATGGATTACCTTCAGTCTGTTGCCTTTTTTTTTTTTTTTCTTTGCAAACTAAAGAGAGTATTTATTTACTCTGTCCTCTAGCACAAGCCAAATGTAAAGCCTTATTTCTGCAGTTTTCACTCTGGTGGAGCAGCACTGACGCAGGTGCAACGCTACCAGAGGCGAGCACAACCCATGGAAGTGCTATTCTGGGTGAGCACGCCGGCGTCTCAAGTTTCGCTCCATTTAGCCCTCACGATTGCTGATGTTTCTGCACGCATCTGACGTGACCTCACTTTGCTGGGAATTCTTTAGTGGAGGAAGAGTGCTCCTTGGGATCGATCTGCACCGAGGCAGCATTTCTCAAGCTTTTCAGAAGTGCAGACTCGCATTCTAGCTGGCAGCAGCCCGGCTTCCCTCGGCAAGGGCGAGTGAAGACCACAGGGTGTATGGATATGGGTGTGACTATGAGTTCCCTTCTGCTGCCAAGCCCTAGAGGTAAAGCACACATCCCCTGCAGTCAGTAATTACAGCTGCCTCTGCTCTCCTCACCCTGCAGGATGACCTGCAGCTGGCTAGCACTCCCCTTTCTACCATTTTACCTTCTCTGGTGCTGGTTTAAACAACCCCATCTTAAGGGGACACACTCCCTCTCACATTTTGTTTGTCATGCAATGTGTCCAGTGCTGGGAAAGTGAGCAGGGCGAGGGTGTGTTTGCAGAAGCAAGGCTGAACCTGAGTGCAGTGCAATTTCTGCCTATTTGCTCAGTATCTAACACATACAGAACACGTATCGTTGAAAAATGATTTATCCTACTATGACCTGATTGCCCACCTTGTGTTTATACATTAAAGAAGGTGCAATCTGTTTTTCTTCCCCCACGTTTCCAGTTATCTCCAAGTTTAACCTGTATACCTCTGGTCTAGCAGGAACCTGCCCAAAACAACCTGCTGGTGAGAAGGGGTGACAGATATTTGTGGTTTATTACTTGCCTGCAGAAAGGCAATCGGACACAACATGGTTTGGAGGGAGTGCAAAGGCAAACAGTCCTGGGAAACAGGCAGGATGGTTGCCTTCTCTGTGATTATTTCTTCCATGGCTATAAACATGCTCAATTTGTAAGCAAAATGAGAGACTTCTGCCAGGCTGTGGTCTTTGCATGGCAGTGGAGTTCAAGCAACATTTTCCTTTCTTGTGCATCAAAATAAATAGTTTAGCAGATCAAGCTAGTTGGGTTAGGTAATACAAAGATAATTTTTGTTTCTGCAGTATGAATTAAACCAGTTTTCCCTTGAAAATGACTGTGGGGAGATTCTGTTCAGTTCAATCTCTCATAATGCTCTTCTAAGACTCCAGTAGAACTGGAAGAAACAAAAAACTAGTAACAAGTTCATGGCACAGAAGTGATAAAATAAAGCTGGAAGGAGATCTAGTCTTTATATTTAAAGCATTTGTTTTAAATTATCCAGAGTTAATCTATCTTCCATTGGCACCTTTCTCTGCATAGATGAACACCTAAAAATATACAAAGTGGCTTCTCAGAATAGAGCTGTGCTTTAATAGTCTGGAAAAGGGGATTGATTTATGGGAAAAGGTGACAAGAACCACATACTTTTTGCTTAGCTGCTAAGTGGAGAAACATAAGAGGTGCCAGCACGTATCAGAAAGCTGTAAACACCAGTGAAGAAGGGCATTATTTCCCATGAGTTAAGAAGTTTTAACCAGAAGTCATAAGTCAAAAGAAAGATCACATACGCTATAAAATAGTATCCCATGAGATGTGGTGAAACACCATCTCTTGAGACACCTAAAACTAGTTGGGACGCTGCCTGTGTTTGCAGATCACTGCTTAGGAGGGCTGTCTTCTGTTCAAAGGATCACAGCTACACCCAGCTCCTAAGAGATTTCTGTGGGACTTGGGCCACAGCTTTGCTAGGCTCTCATGAGAGCCTCCAGCTGGATGTTTGCCTTTTCCAACCTCAAATTGCCCTGGCTGATGGGAGTTTATTTACGAGTTTTGCACTTCCACTGAGTATCACCACATTTGACATTAGGACTTCCTCTCCCACTGCAGGAACCTTTAGCACCTCAGGACTGATTACAGCTGCTTTTTTTTACACTTAACCTGCACCATGGATGGGAGTTTTTTGTTCTTCCCTGAAAATTTAGGAAAAAAGAAAACACAAAGACTTTCTCTTCTGCTCTGGCACTAGAAAAAGTTGTAAAATATTGGTGTGTCCCTTTGAAAATACCTCTCTCCGTTCAGAGCCTTTCTGGGCACTTTCTTAAGTTGCAGTTACCTTTTCTCTCTCCTCTGCATCATAGTTGTCCGGAAAGACAGGTTTGTTCTGGTTTTCCTCATTGATTTCTCTCTCCTCCAAGTAAAACTGCCACTTGGCTTCAAAGTAAAACCAGTGTTCCTGATATTCTGAATGCAAAAGAAATTAATGACGTAGTATTTCATCTCAGCAACATTTTCAGTTCTACTAAAATGGCTTTTAAAGAAAATGAACATATTGACTCATCTGTAACACTGGGTATTTTCCAGTAACATACATTAAACAGGCATATATACAAAGTATGCGTTTTAGTATGTAGTAGGACCTCTAACTGGAAAAAGAAGATGTGAAAGATAAGAGAGAAAAAATCAAATCTATGCCATTAAAAAAATTCCTTTACTATGCCTAAAGAATGTTTAAGAATGCTTACATGTCCTAAATACAAATTACCTCCTACCTCAGTTATCAGTTTTTATTCACGTAATTTCTCTAGTATTTCTGTTCATTACTGTGATCTTTCAGGAAAGAGCTGTTAGAAAGACCAAAACTTCCCGTTTTTGTATATTATAATACTTATTGAACATAGTAAAAGAGATAAATAACACACATATCTACTATTTGTGCCCATACAAATAAACCTTTTTTTTTTAGCAACCACAGGTTTCTCCTTTTTTTATGTCACTTTGAGAAGAGTATCTCTAATAATGTTTAAATTTGTGCATGCAAATAATCTTATTAAACTCATCTTGTTTTTAAACCAATGCTCAACCCTTTATAAAGGCTTGAAAAGTTGCAGAAGTCACACCGAATACATACACACACCTCTGCAGAATTTATGCCTGAATGAAACCCTGTCTGGAAAGCAGATGGGGGTCAGGAATTAGAAATCAGTGAGATGGACAAGATCGCTAAGTATGCCACGGCAAAGCAGTGAGTCAGTATGGGACTACTTGTGTACAGTTTAAAATATAATTAAATCTTGCTGCTTTTCCCCTGGTTCTGTCCTTTCTGGTCACTCAGTTCTGTGATGCAAGTGACTGAGGAATGTGCATGCAACCAAACCATTTTTCTGAAGGATGAAGAAAGACTGAGAGATCTGGGGTTGTTTAGGCTGAAGAAGAGAAGGCTCCAGGGAGACCTTATTGTAGCATTTCAGTACTTTAAGGGGGCCTATAAGAAGACGGAGAGAGATCTTTTACAAGGGCATTTAGTGATAGGACAAGGGGTAATGGTTTTACACTAAATTTAAACTGATTTAAGTTAGATATTAGGAAGAAATTCTTTACTCTGAGGGTGGTCAGGCCCTGGCACAGGCTGCCCAGAGAAGCTGTGGATGCCCCATCCCTGGAGGTGCTCAAGGCCAGGCTGGATGGGGCTTTGGGCAACCTGGGCTGGTGGGAGGTGTCCCTGCCCATGGCAGGGAGGTTGAACTGGGTGATCTTTACGGTGCTTCCAGCCCAAACTACACTGTGATTCTGTAGTGTTGCTTCTTTTCCTATAAGGCCATAAAGGTGTCTCTCTTTGCTGATTAAGATCTTTAAAGCAGTTCAGTGCCATGTAAACTCAGCCCGGCTAACTTGCATGACCTTATACCTTCACAAAATTGTGCCTCCCCAGCCCCACACTGGGACTAATCTCCAGCTGCATGGCCCTGATGACTGGGAAGCTAGTTCGCAGTACTCTAACGAGGGGGCTGTTTACAAAAACAGAGTGACAATGTGCTAACAGCCATCAGACCATGGAGAGTATTTTAAGAAGAAAAATATAAAATCATAGAATATCCTGAGTTGGAAGGGACCCACAAAGATCATCGAGTCCAACTTCTGGCTCCACACAGGACCACCCAAAAATCAGACCACGTGTCTGAGAGCTTTGTCCAAAGGCTTCTTGAACTCTGGCAGGACTGCTGCCCTTGGCAGCCTGTCCCAGTGCCCGACCCCCCTCTGGGTGCAGACCCTTTCCCTAACCCCCAGCCTGACCCTCCCCTGTCCCAGCTCCATGCCGTTCCCTCGGGTCCTGTCGCTGTCCCCAGAGAGCAGAGCTCAGCGCCTGCCCCTCCGCTCCCCTCGTGAGGGAGCTGCAGGCCGCCATGAGGCCTCCCCTCAGCCTGCTCTGCTCGGGGCTGAGCAAACCCAGTGACCTCAGCTGCTGCTTATACATTTTCCCCTCTAGACCCTTCACTATCTTAGTTGTCCTCCTTTGGACACTCTTGAATGGTTTTATGTCCTTCTGACACTGTGGCGCCCAGTTCTTCACACAGTACTTGAGGTGAGGCCTCACCAGCACAGAGCAGAGCCGGCTAATCACCTCCTTTGACCAGCTAGCAGTGCCGTGCCTGATGTACCCATGGCTACAGTTCGCCCTTTTGGCTGCCAGGGCACACTGCAGGCTCCTGTTCATCTTGCCATTGACCAGAGTCCCCAGATCCCTTTTGTGGAGCTGTTCTCCGGTCTCTCATCCCCTAATCAATACATATATCCAGGGTTGCCTTGCCCAGGTGCAGAATCCAGCACTTGCTCATGGCGATAGTCCAGCCCTCTAATTTGTCAAGATCTCTCTGCAGTGCCCTCCTATACCTGAGGGATTCCTCCCAGTTTTGTGTCATCCTCATACCTTCAAGTCCTGCATCAAAGTAATTTATGAAAACATTAAAGAGAACTGGCCCTAAAGTGGAACCTTGTGGAAGGAACCCCATAGTGACTGGGCTCTTCACTATCCAGTGAAGAAACACTGTATTGGTTGAAGAAAACTACCAAAAAGCACCCCATCACCTAGTTCCAAAACTGCTTTTAAAATTGAAGATGACCGAACAGGTTGCTTTGTATTTTAAAACAGGCATTTTCCACTTTCCTCTTTTCAACATGACCAGAAAACAAGTAACTGTTCTCTGTATAGCACCTTTATAAGCAGGGGTGCGTGATTGTTGCAATGCACAGGCTCAGTAATGAAGGGGAAAAGCATATGCAGGAGATGTTGGTTGTGTGGACAACCTGCAACATGGTATGAAACCCTAGATCCAGCCCTTCTGAGGCCCCATCCCTCACATCCAGCCTGAGACTACAGTCACATTGAGATCCATGGGATATCTGGCAAGTAAATGCAGCTGAATAGCAGGGAGGGGTGCTGAATCAAGCCCTCTGTGACTGAACATGGTGTTTGTTACTCAAGGGAGATAAAGAAGCCAAGAAAGAGTTTCCTAATCAGGAGGACTCTGTTTGGCAGGACTTCTTTGCAGTGCATCTCACCAGCCAAGGAGCTTAACTTTAATGCAGAAGACTTCTCTTGCTACCAAAATAGGACTAAGCTCAACAATACGGGCATTACCCGGACAGCGTGCCTCAGGAGTCCAGCACACATACCTCCATGCAGAGGGGTCCTGCTCTGGTGGAGTGACAGGGACCTGCTGTAAAGTCGTTCAAAGAGGAGCTCACTCACACTAATCCTGCACCTGCTCCTCATAGGTCTCATCTAAAAAAAATCTTAGTGTGCAATGAGACGTGGTTGAAAATGCATTTTCTTTCAGGAAGGTTCCCTGCTTCTTTCAGGTTTTAAAGAGGCAGCTTTCCTTCCCAGGTAAATATTCATTTCTGGGTGCTTTTGACTATAGATTTCCACAGAATTCAGTTTGCTCAACAGATATCCCTTGAGATTAACAGGAAAACTTTCCTCAATATTTTAATGTAACTATACTCATCTGTCCACAGCAGGTCTCACTGTTACAAATGCATCACTTCCAGGCAAGAGGGAACTAAAACACCTCTGTCCTGAAGATCGCACCATTAGTGAAGTAGCAATATCAAGTTGAACAGTTGTGGTCCACTCAGTTGCTTTAAAAAAGGATGCAACAGGTTGTATCTTAAATATTTGTTCAGAATATCAACAAATCAAATCTGCATCTGTGGTCAAAGGCTGACTCTTTGTCAAGAGGCATCTACAGGTGAACTTTTCCTGGCAAAATGAGGAAAGTAGTGGATTTTTTAATGGAAGCTATTGGGCCATGCTAATTGATGGAAGGAATGAATAATTCATATCTCAGCAGTCAGTTTGCTTAATAACCTGCTAACTAACAGTTCTTCCTTCCCCACCACCCCGTAGCAATCTTTGAAGATTTCTTAAAGATCAAACTGTGCAGTATGGAATTATAATTTGTATTTTTTGCCACCAATATTTCTGACACTTAACAGATAGTACGAGAAGAAGACACCACTTGCAAAGAGCTTACAGTCTAACAAGACGATGAGAAGGACAGCCTGTGGAGTCATGAGCTGGTGGAAAACGGCAAAAATGGGGAGAATTAGCAGTGATGTTTCTTTAGCCTTTTCTAGCTGAACATGCTTTTAAGAAAATAACTCTTGGTTCAGATGTTACCTGCCATGTGGCGAATGGTCTTCTTGCAGTATTCCTCGGCCATTGGCACTACTTTCATCATCTCTCTTCCCCACTGCACCAGGGGCTTCCCTTGTATTGCGTAAGCCACAAAGAGAGCTGTACATAGGGACCCTAGAAAGCCTGGAATTAATACATAAATATGATTACCACCCTGTGAACTGTGCTTGTGACATTCTTGTCATGTCCCTAGTAAAATCATTAGTAGGATGACTCATGACTGTTGGGTAGATTAACAAACACACATATCCTACCCCTGTCTGCTTACCAGCTGGCTCTTGGCACGTTAAGATTCTTGGCTAATACATGGTGTCCAGTGGTTTACAACTTATTTTGTATAGAAGAGTGCTTCTGTTCTCACTGGTGTAACATGACAGAAACTGAGGTAGGGGTCAAAAATAAACATAATCCACTAATGTAATACTGAAAGACTTCTAATTGAGGTCACATGGAATAACTGAGTAGCACAAAATGATTCAGTTGCAAGTTATATCACCTTGCTTATGATGGATTCATCCAGCTTAGTGGCTGTGGTTGTTGGATATAACACTATTTCTGGTGCATTTTCCTCTAGGGGGACAAATCTGTTCCATCTAGTTGGATCCATTTTCTTTGTTCTGTACTTGTCTTGAAGAAGCAGTTGTCTAAGATGTTGTCTGCATACCTAGCTAGGTCTTCCTCTTTGGATACAAATATATTTGAAATGAACACTCAACTCTTCGATCATGTCAGAAACAGAGAAGCGTGTTTTTCATGCTTGTTGTTATCCTGGCATTTTGTCAAATGCAACAAAATCAACCCAGAGAAACATGCAAAAGAAAGCTAAGAAAAGAACTCTATCATTGAAATAAGCCCCAGGTGAGCAGAATATTGTCATGTGTGCTTCTCTGGATGCTTCTCTGGATGCCACTTGTCTCTTTTCCAAGCAGAAAACTCTTTCTAGACTTAATTTTTCCTCTTATGGAAGGCATTTAATGACTTTGATACTCTTGATGCCATTTCCTGTCTCTAGTAAGTTCTTTATGACGTGGGATACCCAGAAATACAAGCAGGCTTGCTGCTGCTAACACACCATGGATTTTGTATATTGGTTCAACAGTATTTTCTGCTTTGCTCTAAATACTTTTCCTCTAATTTTGTGCCATCCTGTTGGATGTTCTGACTACATCAGAGCACTGAGCATGTTGAACATGTCACCCTTCATTATGGTTTTATTTAATGCTGTCTAAAGCAAACAGAATGAATACATGCTTACATAGCATAAAACTATCAGGATGACAGACTTGAATATTCAGAGCAACATTAAATGTAATTACTTTTGTTTTGTTTGGATAATAAATCATATTGTGTCCTAAAATGTGTGGCGTTAGAATTTTTTGGCTTTCTACCTTTGCCTGCAGTGATTGCATGTGACAAGACCTGTCAACAGAAAAATATTATTATCCCCTGAACCATAAACTCGCATGATAACGGTGAGTCATATGGTTGTACACGAATCCTAAAATTTGATCAGAGCATGTGACATGAATATGCTTTGGATGAGACAGGTTGTGTTTAGTTATTGGGATTTTAGGAAGGAATACTCCTATGCTGTGGTTGCTGTTTGTATAATATACAATCACATACATAAGCTTGTATGTAGGACTTGGAATTGGACTCAAGGAGTTGGACTTGATGATCCTTATGAGTCCCTTCCAGATCGGGATATTCTACATGTATGATTCTACGATTCTATGATTGTACAAGTGGTATGTACACACATATATTATCCAAGCAAATTCAAATGAAAGCCTTGGAGCCTGAAAAGCAGAAGTTGCTTAACCAAGTGGATTTACAGGAGCTGTGTTAGTCCTCATGGAAGTGAAAAGCAACCATAGGCACTTCACAGAAATTATATGTTCGTGGACATTACCTGTAGGGTGGTTATGAGTCATTCGTCCACACTCAATGCTCACTTCAATAAGTGACTCGAGCCTTTCTGGCTTCCAGTATCTCATCCCTAAGCACATGGCTTTTGTAGATGCTCCAAATCCAGACCCTGTAATAAAACAACAATGGTAAGCATTTAAAAGTAGATGGATGATACATAAATATGCTGATAAAATCTGAAGCAAGTACATTTTAGTATTTCAACACTTGTGTGGGAGCTCCCTAAGAAGTGGGAAAAGAGCATGCAAAGCAAGTTACATGTTTTGAAAGTTTCATGCAAGGAATTTTGCCTACACACAATCACTCTGATTTTACAAATTTATTCCAATACTACTACATTCCTATGTATTTTACCAGTATATTCCAGTATTCTCAAGTTCTGTGAAGAGCATAGCAGGTACCAAAGAGCAGCATGCTAGCCTGTTACCAGTACATTTTTTATTCAAACTCTCATGTCATCTTTATTCATCCTCAACTGACACCTCTTTTTTTCTCGTTCCAGATGCCAGGGCTGGAAGCAGCAGTCTGTAAAACAGGTACACTTTTACTATGCCCTTATTTTAGTAGTCTTCCTGATGAAAGCACATTACTAAAACCCTTTCTATGGGTATCACAGCTGATCTTAGAGTTTTGTTGCATGTTTCATCCTAGAGAGCCCCACAGGTAGTTCACAAAAGTTTCTATTAATTACAAAAATAACATATCAGAAAAAGAAATTAAAGAGTCCAAAGACAAATCCTCTGAAGTTAGAAGACAGAACTGGGGTTTCCTGTTCAACCTGAAGTCTGCGCTTTTGCGCACACTCATTATCATCATCAGCCTGCACTTGTTGGAAATTTCTGCCTCATGCAGTACAGACATTATTTATTGAGTAGATAATTCAGTATTTCTTTAAATTGTCAGCACAGAGGGCATGATTTCAGGTGTTCATATTTTAAACACCTCATTGAATGAAGAGTTAAATTTACTAACGAGTTTCTCTGCAGTACTTATCACAGTAATATCAGGATCCCACAGAAGTTTTAATGAGCTTATCTTCTCTAGGCACGCGTGAGGTGATTATCTCCTCTTCACAGCTGGCAAGCCAATGCCCAAAAAAAGCATATGCTCATTGCAGGGACTCATTCTGAGATGGATAGGGTTCGATTTTTCAAAGTACTTAGGATTTTTTCAGCACTGCCTTTGCTCAGTCACACTTCCCAGTGACCTTGGGTAGAGCTGAGAGCAATCAGTGTTTCTCTGCTTGGCCCCTGGAAGATAAGGGGGAATATTTATGCCACCTAATTTTAGCATCTGTGGAACTTACATTAGGAGCACACTCTTCCTGTCTTTCCCAGACAGGCAGCAGAGAGAAAGATTGCCTCTGCTAGCCAGTATGATGGCAGAGGAGGAGGAATTCACGGGCCAGAGTGAAGCAGCAGATGCCAAGGAGCCAGGGACACCTTGCTTTGGACACCTACCTCCAGAGGAGCCTTCGGCTGCTCCCCAGGCTCTGCTTGCTGTGGCTGTGGAGCTCCAGGGGCTCTCCTAGAGCACTGTGATCCCTTTAGTTTCATCCCAAGTGACTCCACCTTGGGTGCTCCATGATCAAAGTGTGATAGTGGGGGTTGCGGAAAGATCTGATGCAAAAGTACTTGCCTGATACAAACTGAAACGTTAACACAAGCCACCCGTTGGCATCACCAAATGGAATACAGACCAACTAGTACCTCAATTACTCTCTAGAGAGGGCTTGTTTTCTTCCCAGAGAAGATCTATCCTGAGTGGACACCCTGGTTATATGATCTAACTAGGTTAGATGAAGAAATTTCTTCCCATCCTCCTGAGAGTTCAATGTGAAGAGTTTTGTGTGCAGTGACTCCAACACCTCTTTAACCTTGGTTTAGCCACCAAGTACAGTCTAAAAAGGTCAAACATCAAATAAATATGATATGAAAGGACTTTCCCAAATACTGCTGTATTCTCTGTAGTCTCAGAACTTTCTCATCCCTTATGAGCCATGCTGATTATAATGAAAGAGACTGAAAGAGACCCTCTCCAGCACATTTTTAGCCCCTGCTCCTGGTGGACACCTGTGCTGCAAATGGCGTTCTTTCCCTTGAGGGCGGAGAGGCATTGCAGAGAGATCTTGACAAATTAGAGGGCTGAACAACCACTAAAATATGACATTTAGCAAGAGTGAGTGCTGGATTCTGCACCTGGGCAAGGCAATACTGGATATATTTACAAACTGGGGAACAAGAGGCTGGAGAGCAGCCCCACAGAAAGGATCTGGGGGCTCTGGTCAATGGCAAGTTGAACAGGAACTAGCAGTGTGCCCTGGCAGCCAAAAGGGCGAACCATACCCTGGGTGCATCAGGCACGGCACTGCTAGCTGGTCAAAAGAGGTGATTAGCCTGCTCTGCTCTGTGCTGGTGAGGCCTCACCTCAAGTACTGTGTGCAGGACTGGGCGCCACAATGTAAGAAGGCCATAAAACCATTCAAGAGTGTCCAAAGGAGGACAGCTAAGATGGTGAGGGGTTTAGAGTGGAAGATGTATAAGCAGCAGCTGAGGTCCCTTGGTTTGCTCAGCCCTAAGCAGAGCAGGCTGAGGGGAGGCCTCATGGCGGCCTGCAGCTCCCTCACGAGGGGAGCGGAGGGGCAGGCGCTGAGCTCTGCTCTCTGGGGACAGCGACAGGACCCGAGGGAACGGCATGGAGCTGGGACAGGGGAGGGTCAGGCTGGGGGTTAGGGAAAGGGTCTGCACACAGAGAGTGGTTGGGCACTGGGACAAGCTGCCCAGGGCAGTGGTCACAGCACCGAGCCTGACAGAGTTCAAGAAGCCTTTGGACAAAGCTCTCAGACACGTGGTCTGATTTTTGGGTGGTCCTGTGTGGAGCCAGGAGTCAGACTTGATGATCCTTGTGGGTCCCTTCCAACACTAGATATTCTATAATTCTTGTCTGAAAAGCGTCTTGTCCATTACTCAGTTCCAGTTCCTCCAAGGGACATAATCCATGCTGGTTATCTAAAAGGTACAGGTGTTGTGCTACACCAGAGCTACTAATTAAAGAAAATTGCGGTGTATTCAAAGAGAAGGATGCACTACAGACTGAGGGTCTGAAGGTGGTTGCCTTTGCAACTTCATTGTGTTCCTCTGTGTTTAAAAGCTATACTGAAACCTTTTGCAGAATTAAACAAGCAAACCTGTCAACCAAAAAATCCATCACATGGAGTAACATTAAGCCTAGGAAGGGTTTCCTGTGATTAGTAGATATTAAGTCCAGTGTATCGATACCATGTGAATCAATGAAGGGAGGGACAGCAAGATTAGTGCCTGCCAGGGGTGAGATACACCTGTGAGAACATAAGGACTGTCCTCTGCAGTCAGACCATAGGTCAACATAACTCTGACAGTGGCCAATGGAGAGGATATTTAAGAAGGAGTAAAAGAAAAGTATAAAGACACTGCCCCTTTGTACTAAGTATAGTGTTGACAATTTCCTTCCCTGATCCAGCAGGTAGCTGTTTCTTCATCTTTCTGCTTAGTAATGCTGGAAGGATTTTCCTTGGGTGAATTTGCGCAGCTATTTTTTGAACCCACAGGAATTGTATCATCTGCACGTTCCCATATAAATGAGTTGTGCAACTTAATTAGGTGCTGCATGAAGTCCTTCCTTTTACTTGCTTTGAACTCATGGTTTCAACTGAGGTACTTAGTTCCTGTACTGGAGCAGACATGAGTTTTCTCTACCTGTATTAATGTTCTCCAACCTATGATTTTGCAGATCTACTTTAGGCATCGGTGGCTAAGGAAGCTGTTTTTGACTGACCCAGTTATCCTTCCTCATGTCCTTTCTAGTTCTCTTACATCCCTTTGTGGGGAGGGAGGGACCAGATTACATATAGTAATCAAGAAATAGGAGCTATGGATTTATATAGTGGTGCCAGCGTGTTTAGTGCTTTGTTCTCTGTTCCCTTCCCAGTCATTTCTAATAGTATATTAATTTTTTGGCTCTTATTGAGAACTGAAGTGATGTTCTTGTAGAACTATTATAGCTCCATGATCCCTTTCCTCAACAGTAATAGTTAGCTCAGCAACTGCAACCATGTATATAAAATTAGGATATTATTTTTTTTTCCCATGCATATGACTTTTCATTTATCTACATTGCATTTGGTTCTGCTATTATATCACAGTTACTCATGGCTGTGAGGATCTTCTACAGCTCTGTACTTTACTATTTTTGACAGCAGACTTTGCTGAACAACCATGTACTTATTTTTTCCAGATAGTTTGTGGACATGTTGACCATGAACCAACACAGATGTCTCCTTCTCTCTGGAGAAGACAGACTGCAATGTCCTGCTCTTTGTTTACTGTCTTTTAACCAGTTATCTATGCTCATGAGAGCCTTTCCATCATTCTGTAGCAACTTACTGCCTTGTCACTTGGTGACTTGGTCATCTTGGTAAAAGACCTTGTCAAATGTGTATCCTCTGTTCCCCAGATTCTTGGCTATTTCGTGAACTTTCTCACAAATTTCTGAGGTGTGACTTCTCTCTACAAAAGCTGTGATATGTTTCTATGAACACACAATATCATCTTCATTCACGCACTATGTTATTTTCTATTATTATGGAATTCCTCTGTGTTGTTTTTTTGTTTTGTTTTTCTTTTTTTTTCTTTTTTGTTTTTTTTTTCACTCTACATAATAATACAGATCAGCTTAATGCCTACTAAGCTCTGAAGAGGATGCCCCTTTTGTGACTACAGGCTATTCTGCATGAAAACTTAGAGCCTGACTCCTTTTACTTCGTGTCCCTCTGTAGCTTATCCTTCTCTTCATTTTTGCTCCCCGACATCCTGCATTTAACTTGCACTTTTTCCTCATAATCCCATACCACCATCAAAAGATACTGTTCATAAGCACCACTGGGAAGCCCAGCAGCTGGCTCCAGTAGCTGCACATAAAGTCCTGCTTGGATGACGCAGCCTCAGCCTGAAATACATTCAATACAGGTAGAGACAAGCTGGCTTTTAACTGGACTTTTGCAGTTAAAAAGGCACATTTCTGGCCTTACCCAGACTTCTGTTTCTGCTTTCAACCATCAGTGATTCTCTTCTGAACAATTCAAGTTTTTAGCAATGAAACAAAGCATTGATTGTGTCAATGAACCTGAGAGCAGGTGGCAAAGAAACACACGGGGCAATTTAACATCAGAGCTCAACGTGCTGAATATACCCACATAAATTTGAGCAGAGGAGCTTCAGATAAGCACATGAATTTTTGCTAGAAGTGAAATAGCTTAGAATTATCATGATAAAGCAGCATGTGGCTTCCAGACCATCCAAAATACCACCTCACTGCAAGGCATTGAACAATATGGATTTTTTAACTTTTTTTTGTCCTCAAGAGGAAGTTTGTGGAAAATCATTTAAAAAGTTAATTGTGTCCATAGCAGTGTCAGGCCCCGTGGTAAGCTGAGCATCTCCAACCCAGGTAACCGGTACTTTTGTTCTCAGGGTAAAAAAAAAGCTACTTAAGATGTTCAGGATGGCATTTTTCGGACCAGATGTAGACAGTGCATTTTAGCTGCCAGGTCTGAAGAAATTAATTTCAGACACTTCTAGCCCAGAGTATCCCAGGAACATATCTTCAGCCATGGAAAGCTGGGGAGCAGGAAGGCTAAAAGAGGAGATGTGGCTCCAGACACAACAGGTTGGGGAGCAGCCGTGCTCCGCTCCTGGTGGTGCTGAGAGCTGCTGAGGGCCAGCAGCAGCTCCCACAATTATTTTGACTGAATTTTACTCACAGTCAATCAGAAAATACATGACGACTGCCAACGGGGCCCTCTCTCAGATCTGCCCGGTGAATGGCGAGGTGGGCAGGGTACACGCGGAGAGGATCCTTCCCCTCCCAGCAGCTGTTGTAGGGGCGGGGGCTGAGTGGGTGATGCTTTTTGTGTCGAAGAAAGCTGACTGCAGAGACCCAGAAATAGCCGTGGCATGGTGCCACCGTGTTTTTGTCACGGCGTTGCATCAACGTGCCATGCTGCTGAGTGCTGCGGGTACATACCACAGCGATACTGCACCGCGCTGACACGGTGCAGCGTCTACATTATGTGAGCTGCCACGGGACCGTGGCTGCCTAGGTCTGCCTCCCTTGATGCTGTGGCATCTCTGCAGCCTCTCAAGGTTAATTGCACTGCTTAGTGCAATTGCATGCTAGATAAGCTGCATGCATGTTATCTAGCTGGAAGTAGAAATTCCAGTTATCATAAAATGAAATAATCACAAAGAGAAAGGAAGGGTCATGGGGAGGGAGGCAGGGGTAGGACTGTTAGGGGTGGTCAGCAAAACAGCTGTCGTTCCTAGCATTGCATCCTCCTGGAGAAAAGTAATGTAAGACCAAAAAGATCCTCAACTACAAACATTTCAATGAAAAAATAAAAGGCAGAAAATATTTCTTAAAATAACCATTAAACTCAAGGCCAGAGACCGGGACCCCACGGCACGGAGCCAAGAACAGAGTCTCTTTAAATAGATGTTAAACAGGGAAGGGCTCGTTTACGAGAGGACATAGTGCCCTGGAGCAGGAATGCCTGGCAGACCTCTTGCCATCCATCCCCAGGCAAACATGGAAATGTTTCAGGGGGCGCAGCCCTTGATGCCGGGGGAAGAAAGGCAACAATTTCCCCGTTGCCCCAAATCTTGAGAGTTTGCGCTGTTGAGGCCAGCATCTCCGAGCAGGAGGCGGTACCCTACCCTTTTCGTTGAACGGCGTGTGCCAGGCCAGCAGGTAGTTGTCTGGTTTCAGTTCCCTGCAGCCCTCGATGGTCGCGGGGTCTGGCCGCCTCCCCGACAGCTTGTCGACCGCGTCCACGTAGCGCCTCACCAGCTCGCGGTACAGGTCCTCCAGGCACCAGTAGTCTGGGCACAAGGGGAATAAAACATGGTCATGCACAGGCAAAAGAGCGAGGGAGGGCTGAAAACAAACACAAAAAGCTCATCATGGTTTCAATAAATGCTCCTATCCCCACTTCCAGCACACCGGGTCACATTTCTGGTGCCACACTATGCCACCCATGAGAGGGGACTAGAGAGAAACATCCTTTTCTCTTCGTTTTTTACATTTTGCTCCTTTTCTCTTCATTTTTAATTCCTTGAATTGAAAATACAGAGGTGTTCTGCTCCTCGACAGGAGCTGCTCAGGGGCTGTACCTCACCTCAGGGTGTGCAGCGCTCACCAAGGTGTCTCACCCCTGGGGACGTGCTGCCTCGGTGGCTCTGCCTGCACCTCTGCGCTCACTTGCAGGTGTGAATCCACATTAAAAACAAAGCTCCCCTCATTTTATATAACACCATGAATTATTTTGATGAGATATGCATAATAAAACACAGGTCTTATCTGTGAGTTTTTCACGTGTTGGGTTTTCCAGGTGTTGGGCCTGAAGAGTCCTGCCCCTGGTTCTCACTGAGGGAAAGCCCCCGCTGCCTCCTCCTACAGCTCTGCACGCAGCAGGAGCCGAGGAGGCTGTCACGGTTTGACCATCTATATGTTTCCAGCGTACTCGAAGAAACCCCTCCTAACACTTGGGTTGCCTACAGATCGAATGACACGGTAAGTGAAGTTCTAAAAATACCTTCAAGCATTTTGTCAAAGATTGTTGATTTCTCAAAATCCACAGAAGAGAAGGTTTAATTTAAGGCTACATTTGGAGACCCATAGCCAGAGCTACTCTAAAGTGCCATCTGTGCAGACAGATGGGGAGAAAAGACACGGGTTAAAACCCAGATTCCCCTCCTTTCACAAGAAAAATGCCCTATCGGTTACAGTGGCCGTCCCGCTTACAGTCCTGGAGGAACGGGATACTTTCAAGCTGCCGACTCTTTCCAGATTTAGGAATCAGGTGTCAGTTTATCCGGATGCAAGCCAAGAGCAGGATTTGCCACTCGGCAGCACCCACAGAAGCTGTCCCCAAAACCAGGGTCCCTTGGTCCAGCACCGCCGGCTGCCTGAACCCACACGGGTCCCTCATGTGGGGCCAGGCTGGTGCCTGAGCCATCGGCCAAGTGGGGCAGGCTCCTTTAGACATGAGTGCTCATTTCTTAAAATCTGTGTTTAATCAGAGAGGAAAAGGCTTTCCTGGTAGCGGGGGCAGGTCCCCTGCTTTTGGTGGTGCTGGTTTTGTTCCCCCCTCACGGGACAAATGACTCCCTCAGGTAGATATTTCATTTGTCCTTCGCTCTCGGATCAAACTTTCCATCAGTGCACAGGGTGGTTTTGGGGCCAGTGCCAGCTGGCTTCAGCCTCACGGAGCCACCTTCGCCTCGGTGAGCATCACTCTGTTGGCTTTGGGGCTCCTGTGGGTGGGTCCTGCCTCCCTTTTGGGAAGCGGAGGAAAGGACGTGGTTTCCCACACTCACGAGCGTTGCTCTGAAATGAAGGTTTCTCACTAAAATTTCCCTCTCCTTCTTGTAACTTTATCCCCAGCCCACAACAGCATCGTTTTTAAAGCCCGTCTGATCAGGACAAAGAAATGAGAGCACGGGATCAGCACAGCTGATGTGAATTATGGCGAAACCTTATTTTTTTCCTTAAAGAAGGGCAGCGCTCCTGTTTGAGATTTATTACTGTACGGATAGCCCGACTGACTTGACTACCCGTAAGTTATGGTTTTGGAGAGTTCAATAAGCAGGAAACACATGATACGGATTTAATCATAGCCTATATTCAGAAAGATGTTAGTCATCTTTTTTCCTTCATAGGCTGACATCTTGCCCTTATCTTTAGTGTATTAGCTACCCCTTAAACCATTGGCTAGCTAATAGCCAAGCATGAAGCGCCCGACACACTCTTCAACTGATCTCCACACACTAAATTTAGAGCACATCAGGGGCAGGCAGAGATAAAGCAGTGAAACAGAGGCAGAAGTGAAATTTCATTGACTTTAACACTACCTAGCTACATCGCATTGCTTTTGTTAGCTATCCGGTGCTGCTTGTGTTAGGAGAAGTCAGGAATATTTCTGGAGATTAAAAAACATTTGATTCATTTTGAGGACATGAAAAAATAGTTGATGTCTTCTGATGTAGTTTTGATGATGGTCTCAGCTTTAGCTCAGTGGGTAGTGTTGATACAAATATCGTGGCATCTTAAAAAGTCTGTCAGTAGCTTAGGAAAACACAAATGTTCTCTCTCAGACTGTTGTGATTTTAGAAGACATATATTAATAATCTTATCTATTCTGTTATACTTTATTATAAACCTCTTACTTTAGAATATTTTTCAGGTTAAAGATGCAGAGCTCTCCCTACAAAGCAGCTTGCTCCTTTCTGGCTTTGCAGGCACAACGCTGTGCCTGTAGGGCAGCAAAGAGGAGATAGCTCTGAAGATTTTAGCCTGGATGAGATACTGAGGGGACTCCACTCCAGCCTGGAGCAGTGAGCACAAGGACATTAAAAGTGCACTGGGAAAAGCTCTGAGCTTTTATAGAAGAATTTGTAAGACTATATCTTCTAGGAGATCTTTCATAGAAGAATTTCAGACGGGTTTATTCCTGGTGGCTATACCATTCCCTGACACATGCAGTGTACACATGAGCTATGCAATATTTTTGCTATTATGCTGGACATGCAGTATTTTAAGTCTTTAAGCTTTAACCAACTTTATAAACCTAGACAGAGTGCAGGGAGAGCCCGTCCACACTTAAGAAATCGAAACTCCTCTTTGTGTGGTGGCCACGAGATTATGCTCGTGGAGGAGACGAGCTAATGCACCTTATCATTCACACCAGCAGCATTTCTGACACATTTTCTCCCGACCTCCACAGCACCCAGGCTTGTTTTAAGGAAAGCAGCGGCTCTAGAGCTTTGCTCCTTGCCAGACTGCAGCTGTGAGTCCCGTGTTACCTACCTGTGATGACAGCCTCTGCTGTAGCCATGTGCATGAGAGTGTTGTCACTTACTGGCCATTTGTCTGGAGAGAGCACCAGGTTCTCGAGCCCTCCAATTTCCTTCAGCTCCTGCTGGATTTTTGCACCTAAAGCATTGTCTTGTCGGGAGAAATTTCGGTAACCAAGAGCATCCCCTACCCCGGCCAGTACAAGCGCAGCCTTGAATTTATCCATCCCCGGGACGCTTTTCGCTTCCCTTTTGCCTGAAGCCGCCACTGAATCTGGATCTTCCTTTGTTCCTCTGCCTTCGGCTCAGCTCCCCCGACACTTTATATCAGCCATTGTGTCACCCCGGGAGCTCTCTCTATAAGGCAAGAGCTTCCTTTTCTGGCTCTGCAGATGCCATCTCTTGTCTGGGGCCCAATGGAGAGGAAATATTTCATAAGCCAGGGGTTTTGCAGGGGCTTTGTTCAATGAAACCGCGAGAGCGCGCCCACAAAGCCAAGTGCAAAAACATCGTTTCTGCAGCCCAGCACAAAGCAAGCCAGGAAATACTTAGCCCTACCCCGTGGAAGTAACTCTACACCCAGAAAAACAGATGGCTTCACAAGGGTGTTTATTTATTTAATAACTTGCAAATTAATACATTTTCTTGCACTTTTCTGATACGCTGGGGTCAGCCTCCCTTTCAGGGACCGGTCGAGAAGCTGAAAGCCTGGGATAAAAGAGGTTTCTGAACTCAGGAAACACAGGAACGATGGCTTAGGTGGAAAGAAACCCAGTAAAATGCAGTAGACCTCTCACATTTCTAATGCACATCTCCAATGGCGATATTTCACCAACAACCTTCTTGCTCTGTCCCACGTATACCACGCGTGTTTAGCCCATTCACTGCACCCCGACGAGCACTCAGCACGACGCCAGCTTCAGTCCCACATCTCCTTTTGCCTGGCAAAGGATGACTTTTTCCTAGGACAGAGCTTAGGTGCAGCCCACATTTGGACTCTGAAGGGAAACTATTTGGAAAGATATATTTAAACGGCATCCTGTAAATCTAGGAAAGCTCACAGATGAAGAAATCACACTTGGTAAGAACTTAGTTATATTAATACCACCCTTCCAAACCTGATCCCTGGGAAATTATCTGCTTCATTCTGTTAGTGCAGTTTGTCCTGTACTTCTGCCATGCAGTGTAAGAAAAGGCTCTGTGATCCTGCAGCCTTCTGAATGTGTTTTGCCCACAGACAGATCTCTGTGTAGGCTCAGCATCTTCCCTTAAGGGATCTATGGAAACTGCCTCACATTGTGGTCCCGAGTCACTACTCATACTGCCCTAAGGAATCAAAAGTTACTAAACTTTACAGGTAGAAATACAAATGTAAATATAACCATGTATTTATTATAAAAATAAATAGAGAAAGCTTTGACTCAACTGCAGTTCGCTTGACTGCAATTTTGATAAAGGATACCTGGAGGAAAAATCTTTGTTTTACTCTGACCTTTTTCCTAAAGCAGTACTGATTGCTGCCCAGATGGACAAGGCCAGCAGCGCAGAGGATGCACTCTGCTGTCTCCCGGAACGATAAGCAGTTAATCACAGGCTGGGTGTTTGACATGAGTAAGAATACCACTGTACTCAAGGGACTTTAATGCAGTTTTTGACCACTTGGATGGAAGATAAGCCCTGACATCGCCGTTCTGCATTGTAAGAAATCTGATGCGAAAGTGGAGGAAGTAGCCTTGGTCAGCACACGCTTGTTTTACAGATTAGGTAACAGAGGCTCCGAGTTTTAAAAAGAGGACACTGAGAGTGTTCAGGGAGGTTGTGGAGTCTCCTTCTCTGGAGATATTCAAGGCCCGTCTGGACACGTACCTGGGCAGCCTGCTCTAGGGAACCTGCTTTGGCAGGGGGGTTGGACCCGATGATCTCCTGAGGTCCCTTCCAACCCCTACAGTCCTGTGATTCTGTGTCTTCTTTTCTAGGAAAGAACAACTCTGAACTGAAAAAGCACAAAATAAATAGCAATTGTGCCTTCAGTACCAGGAACACTACAGAGGGACGATAGGTGATGCAGGGCCACGAGATCTACAGCATGGCTGTGGGCAGCCTGCTGCTCTAGAGATGGCTTGCCACGAGCATCGTGGGTTTGAAAGACAACATTCAAATGGAAAGCTAAGGCAAATTTTTTCAAAAACAAAAACAACAAAATCAGAAGTGTATCTGACATCTCTTTTGCAGGTCCGTGCATCCTGGTGTGTCCCCCCCTTCAGCACTCCCACAGGATATTGTGATTTCTGGGAAGCTGAACTTGCAAACCAAGGGTAGGAGAAACCGCCTGCTGAGGCACTGCAGGGAGCTACGGGGGCCTTATCAGATGAAAGGTTCCTCTCTGGAAATGGGCAAAGCTATTCTTAGTTTTCCATTTATCTCTTCCTCTTATACGTGGCTGGCAGTTGTACTGCCCCTTCGCCTCCCATGGACTTTATACCCTCCCTGTTGCATGCACACTCGACTGCTTGTAACTCAGACCAAATTAGGAGTGAAGTCTTTGGCTATTAAAAATAAGGTTATTAGGTTATTTTCTCTGGGTTATTAGAAAACCCAGAGAAAAATTCAGAGAAGTTCTAGTTTTCCAACGCCACTAAACAGGACACGCAACAAAGGATTAAGCATTTGTTTAATTTGTGAGCTGCATATCATCTCCTTTTCACGTGTTGCTTCCAACCCCTGTGAACCTTCTGGACAGAGGTGAGTTAGGCACACTGATATCTACTCTCCCTGACAAAACAAACAAAAAATAATAATAAAAAAATAATAAAAAACCACAAACGAACAACCCACAAACAAACAAAAAAAATATTTGTGAAATATCATATTTGCATGATACACAGAAAAAATGAAATGTGAAGGCAGAGCAGAGCAAAGCCTTCACGTTGGTGGCAACGTGCTGTTGTTTCAGCTCAGCTGTGTTGGAAGCCACGTGTGAAACATTAAAGCCTGCATTCAGCTTACGGGGAACTTGGCTTCAGAGGATACCTCCTCTACCTGCTGGGATGTGAATCAGGTCTTCAGAAAACAGACTGCCCTTCCTTAATTGCTTCCTAGTTGGGGGTGACTCATTTTTATACCGCTTCGCACCACTGCCTTGAGAGAAAAACATTCCTTTAGTGCTGCAGCATGGACTTTGTCCTTCTTCACCCTCTTGACAGGACGGCTGCCATCACACAGCATCTGAAATATGGGATTTCGTGCGTGTGGGTGGAGAGGCAACTGCAGTCAGCCCCTCCTGCCCACAGTTCATAAGAAAAAAGCCCTGTTTAAGAGGTGCCATTCTCACCTCGTCACATAGATGTTTGCTTTGCCTTCCTTCAGCCTTTCAGGTGAGAATTAAGGACGGCTGAACACACACATCTGAAGATCTTCACTCAGACTGCTGAGCGTGCTGCTTCTCCTACAGAGCTCAGTGCCTAGGACCGAGCAAGGCTTCCCCTGCAGGTACACTTCTCATAGCCTGGGCAAATTACTGATGCAAACTGCAGCTGCTTAAAAACTTAAAGGTGGCACAGATGGACAAAACAGGCATTTCTTTCAGGTGTAACTGCTAAAAATCATGAGTTGCATCCTCTCCTTCATCTGGTTGATGGAATAATGCATGAATCCAGCAAATTAACTGAAAACAAACAAACAAAATCCCCCCCTCCCCAGCCTTTGCAAGGCTTCCAGAGCAGAAAGCTGATAAAACCACAGAGACATCTCACATGACTGACTTCCATCCTTTATGTTCCAAGTCCCTTTATTCTTTTTTTTCCATTGCCACAAAAATTCACACACGTACAGCTTACTCAGCAGCAAATCCCTCAGGTGCATTGCACGAGTGGATGCCTGCAGGTCTGCTCTTCTTGGCATGACACACACGATAAATCACATTTAAATTTAGAATTGGCAAGTACAAATCCTATGGCTCAGTTTCGAATGCTCCAGGAAGAAAACCCAAAAAACTTGGCAACAGCTTTAAAAAAAATACAGAGTTTATCTAGGAACTAACACGGTATGTAGTGAACAACTTCAAGATTTCTGTACCATTTATGATTATAAATTAATCAGCCTAGGTGTTACCACTAGAGGAGTTAAAAAGCAAAGTCAGAGTGCCCTGTAAAGGGGAACAGCAGACAGTGGCAAATACTGGAAATCGTAAGGAAAACATCATTTGAAAGCTGATCATTTGCATTTACTTTATGATCGCTCAAGCTTGAAGCTGTCACTCCGTATTTATGGGAATGTGAAATGCAGAGGTGGTTTCAAGGGAGTAGAAGACTGGGAAGAGCAAAAGAAAAAAAAAATCAACTACACTGGCTGATGGGGAGCAACTGCTACCTTGAGAGCATTTCGCCCAGTCTTCCTCTGTGGCAAGGTGTTTTCCACAAAGGACCTCAGGAATGAAGCTTGAGAGGCAAACAATTGTATGTGAGAACTAAATAAATATTCTAAGTACCTGCTTCCTTATATTAACAACCCAAAAAACCTCAAGCCACATACTTTTTTATGCTCCATTTATCTGGGAAGGTAAAAGCATCGTTAGGTTGATTTGAAGGAGTTCTCAGCACGTACAAATGTTTTGCAAGCTCCGGTGCTATGAGACTATTTGGTTACATCACACACCAATGGATTAAACTATTTCTGCTCAGTTATATTATAACTATATAATTTTAAGAGATAATTGTGTCAATAGCAAGCATTCCACTGCTTTTGGCTGGACAGAGGCAGCTGATGCCATGGGGTGTCACACACATCTTCTCCAAAGCCTACAGGACAAAAATGGCTTGGTTTGGGTAGAAGAAGATTGGGTAGATTTGATTATAAATCAAATCCATTAAAAGAGAACACTACTGCTTTTATATCTCAGATGACTTCTGTAGAATACTGCAGTTACATAAGAAATGGCCTCCTAAAAAGACAGTCAGAAAGTGGTAATTTGGGTCAGCTTTACACCCTTCCTTCCTATACAAAAGAAAGGAGCACCTGGAGACTGAGACACTGACATCTAGCGGCTGTCGTGCAAGGTCTAACATTTACACATACTGCTTGGGGTAAGGAGACTAACATTAAACCAGTAACTGGGCATCTCTAACTCGCTTGCTCTATTCCTATACATAGAAAATTTGCTAATTTGTTCAATTTTGTCCTAACCCTGCTTTCTAAACATCATACACACCTGAAATTTTCTCAAGTAGAAGAATGTGAACTTCATGTGCACCACGTATATTTGCTTTGTAGGCTGCGCTGACATAAATGAAACCTGAACGCTTGTATGAAAATCTAAACATTAGATTTTTAAGAGTAGTTTAAGTTTTTACACCCTCCAAACTATGAAATATAATAAGCCATCATGCAATAGTTAAGTTACCTGAGGTGAGCCAAATAGGTACGAGTTATATAACTCAATGCACTACCTTCTCAAAGGATTCTTGGATTTATGCAGCTCTGATTACAGCACATCTATTAGTCAGAGCTGTGTTTACTCTTTAGCCACTCTTTAACAAACTTTTATAAAGGCTAGGACAAACTCATTTCAATGATGTTGAGTTTAGAGGAGCCCTGTATGAAAGCATGCTGAATAGTTTCTGGTAAAAAGAAGTTGTGCTTAAGCACTGGAAGACACTGTTGGGGAAAAAGAAGACTGGCCTCTATACACTTTGTAACAGATCATCGGTGAGAGGGGAGAAAAAATCTGAATGAAGTTGGATTTGGTGAAAACTGATCAAATTCCACTGCTCTTGAGTGATATTGCATTAATTTACTCTTTTTTTCCTTAAGTATTACTGAATATACAAAATATCCAGATTCTAACATAATTAATGTGAAATTTCCTTTCCTCTGTTTTCAAAGTGGAAGCCAACTGTTGAAGTCTTTGGGCTTATTCATGTTTACTTTCTGTGAGGCTTGTCAGGAACTGCACTCATAAGTTGTTGCATCTTGTTTGCATTGAAGGTGTCTTCCAGGCTACAAATAAAAGTTATGTTCTACCAATCCACTGTTTAAAATAAATACATAACTGAAGACTAGGAGAATTGATCATCAAATATAAATTAATAGAAGTATCTTCAGTTGTTTAAGGTCTATTTTAAAATGGTTAATAAAAAAAGCTGGAGGTGCAACACAGCACAGAGCAGCAACCCCTTCCTCAGCAATGCTACTGCAACATGTCCGAGCTCTTCGAGAATTCAGTAGTGAGGAAGTTAATCTCATCGGGGAAAACAAAAGGAATGCTCAATCTCTATACTGAAGGCTTATTCTCTATATTGAAGGCTTAAAAATATAAATTCAAAATTCTGGCAACAAGTCAAAAAATTCTGCATGAGGACAGATCCATAGAGCTAGCTTTTATAAAAATACACCATACTACATGTTTTATTTAGGGATTTAATTTATATACCACAAATACTGCTTTTCATATAAGTACAATATAATACAGTTTTATTTAACTGCTGGTGTTCACTTTGGATCATGAACTCAATGGCATGCTGTGCTGTCAAACCTTTAATAAAATGGCCTCTAGTTAAACTTCTCCAAAGTATAAAATCATGCAAAATCTACATCCTATATGATACAACCAGTAAAATAGTTGAAGCCAATAGCCTACAAACAGCCTGGACTATCTTCTGGAGTTTGTTCATGAAATGTCCGCGGGTCAGCCATCATTTTCTTCAGGCAGAAAGGAGGAATTCCTGCTCTGTCTCCGGAATCTCATCATGACCACCGAAACCAGCAACAGTGTGCACAGTTATCAGCCAACAAATCTTTGTTACCTAATGCAGTTCAGACTGTGCATTTAGTCCACATTAAGTCTGGGGTTAGGAAGTTTTACGCTTTCCTCCTGTGACTACAGGTCGTGCATATTCCACAAAGTCATCTATAAGAACAGGCCACGCTCCTAAAGAGAAGTCAAGCAGTTCAGAAATTAATGTATCATTATTAGCAGTAAGTTGGTATAGGCTCTAAATAAAAAGGATCAGAAGGTCAATTTGACTTTCTGGACTAGATTAGCTTTAGAATCATCGATTCATTCATTAAGGTTGGAAAGCCCTCCAAGATCACCTGGTCCCACCATCCCCCTGCCACCAATGTCACCACCAAACCATGTCCCCAAGCACCAGGTCCAACCTCTCCTTGCACACCCCCAGGGACGGTGACTTCACCACCACCTCCCTGGGCAACCCGTCCCAGTGCCTGACTGCTCTTTCTGAGCAGAAATGTCTCCTCATTTCCTACCTGAAACATGCATGACACAATAAACACTAGAGAAAAACTCCTAAATAGTAAAAAACATTGCATCTCTTCTTGAGCAATAGTTCTTCATACAAACAAAATGCATTTAAAGCACAGTGCCATGTTACAAAGTTGATAAACAGTTGATAGAAAAACCATGGCATTTCTATTAGAGTCATTCATAACCCAGTAAATATTTCTGTACACAGCCATTCCAAACTGGGATTTGTAAGATTAGGGACAGTGTAAGTTTCTTTTAGGTTCATTAAAAAAAAAAAAAAAAAAAAAAAAAAAAAAAAGCTTATGTAGGCATTCTTGCAAGTGGAAAAGTATTTAGTCTTGCATTTAACAGCATTTTTGGTACAATAACAGTTTTACTGTGACTCTTGTAGCATGTCAGGTTGAAATAGTATGTGCTATATCACTGTGCGACAGTATCCTTAATTCCATCTACATGTTATGTCTAAATTCTTATCATTAGTTTTGGCAACAAGTGTTACCCTAAATTTGCAACTAAACCTCTACATGTAAGAAATTGAAACAAAAGGTTTCAGCATGTCCTGATGTGCGTTTATAGTAGCATTTCAGTTCTGCTGCACCAACTTTTGAAGATAATTCAAGTACTGCTTTACCTTCTTCATCGTAGTTGGACATATCATCTGCAATCATATTTCCAAAGTCTAACAGAAGATTCCACGTGTCTTTTGGAATTGATCTTTTATGATGTTCCTGCAAAGGAAGAAAAATGGTACTGTTTAGTACAAACTATTTTCAAATTCCATGGTAGTATGGCAGAACTTTATTTTGACATGTACAGAAGATATTGATGTTTTACACTATTTATTTTTAAAAGTTGAGCTCTTCCAAAGAAAACTATAAAATTATTACTAAAGGATGCAAAAAAAAATAAAATAGAAGTTTCTGATATTTGTTTTGTCCTATTTTTGCTTTTAGGTATGTGTTCCTAACTTGCTAGTGAAAAGAGTAAAACAAATGTACTTTACACTTTTATGTGATGGATCTTGGTGTCCAACTGTTTTAACTTGAGCCCTTTTTACCATAACCTTTTTTACCCACCCTTACGCAGTTTGTTTCAACCTGCTGGTTATATTTGCACCCATTTTCTTCTTCTCACTCCCAGTCTACTTTCTGGATCCAACATCTCAGCCTTTCAAACAACTCTCTTCTTCACCATTGTGTAACATCTGCATTTGCTCCACTTGTTTTCTCCAGTCTCCTTTTCCCCACTTCCTCCTATTTTCCCATACGACCTCCTAGTCTGATTTCAGGTATGCTCCTTTCACCTCATTCACATGGAACAGTTTCCAGCCCAGCCAGTTTGAACAACACCCCAAAAATGTGTGCTCCTCTGACACCTTGGGAATCCAACTGCTTAGCCCGAAGGAGAACACTCAGCTTTTGCTGGATCTTTCTCCCAGCTTAGCAAGCAGAAACAGTTCATAAAGGATGGTCAATAAAGCACTGCAGCTGCTGTAAAGGAAATCAGCAGAAATATATGTGGGGAAACAACTTGAAACAGTTTTGAGCTGTAGGATTAGGTCAGACCACCTAGAACTCACCTCATCCATTGATACTGCTATAGTACTTGAAGACAACAGGGGTGACTAATCAGGAATTCAACGTCAGCCCTAATGCCTAGACCTGGTTTGCAGCAAGTTGTAATTGCATGTAAAGAATTAGTGTTTTGTTTGTTTTGTTCTGTTTGTGTGTGTGTATGTGTGTGGTTGTTGTTGTTTTTTTTGTTGTTGTTGTTTTTTTAAAGCATTAACACTCTGAAATATTGAGAAGAACAAGCTGCTTTTCTAAAAACCTGGGACTTGATCAAAATGAGGCTGACATCCATCACAACAGCAAACACGCACCCTTACTCAAGTCGAACATTACACTTTTTGCAGCCAAGACACAACAAGCAAACAAATCTTTTGGAAAAGGTTCCTTAAAAAGAAAAACAAAAACATGCCCTAAGGAGTCCTAGCTTGCTGTTTTCTTAAGCTGATTTTTTTTTTTTTTAAATCTAAACATTTTTTTTTTTATCGTTTACATTCAGGTTAAATACTTATAGCAAAATAAGACACTATATTCCATCTTCTAGAGTACTGCTTGAAGCAGAGATCTGTAGAACAGTTTGTTGTAACAACCTTGATCACATAGCCTAGTGGGATGTTGTATTTTGATACTTTAAGTGTATTAAGGCAGTTAAAATGTGAAATGTTTTCACAAATTCTCTTTATGAAACTCTTACATATAGACAGTGAATAAAATAAACATAATGTCCAAATTTTTTAGAAAAAAGTAAGATATTCTAAAAAGCATACACTTAAAAATATAGAAATAAATATAGGAAAGACTTGCTTCTAAACTACAGATAAAAAGTAAAACTGAAAACTAAAGATAAATTATACACGATATAATATTATACAAAGGTTTTCTGATAGCATATAGAAATATCAGTGTAGAAACATGGATGAATCAATCGGCTCTTAAATAAGAATATTTTGTGATTCCTAAAGTTTAATTTATGCATCTTTACTCCACTGCCCGCAGAACTGCACTGGTAACACAAAACTACCAAGATAAGTTCACAACTATTATCTAAAAAATGAGTCAGAATAATTACTTGGACAAAAACTTTCACTAAGAAGTCATCTCTCAGGTTAAGTCAGTCATAACACAACTTACTTTGTAAAAAGACCCAATTTATGCATTAGTACCACATAAGGTATGGTAAAGTATATGGCTGGCAACAATCACAGCTGTCTTGAGAATAAAGACAACATAGGTTCAATCTACAATTATGGCTTCATTTCATGCAGCAGCTTTCTTAAGGTGGGAGAACACAGGACTGTGCAAGCAGAATGCACTACTGCTTTGCTACATATGTTTGCTTCCTCCTCAATTAGAAAATCATACAAAGATGATTTAATCTGGCTTGATTTAAGACTACCTTATATCAGTCTTCAAAAAAGAAGTTAAAAGGAAATATTCATAGGTCCTGTCTTTCTATTGTAAGCACAGCATCATAGAAGTCAGACTACCGTGGACTAAGGTGGGAAGGAATAAAGTCCGTACTTACCAACAAGAATTTATTCCAAAGATCTAGGAATTTAAATCTTCCTGACAAGACTAAATTCCAATACGCAATTGCCATTTCTAGATCTGCAAGAGACAAAGCAAAACATTTAATATTACAGCATATTATATGCATTAAAACTGTTAAGATTAAACAATTAATGCTTCATCCAGTATATTAAGATACAAATTTATTACATTCTTTTGAAATTCTTACAATCATTACCAAGAACTGCTCTCTATAGTAACCCAAAAGGCAGAAGAAAAGCAGTAATGGTAAAAATTGCACCTTGAACATTACAGTCAAAGATTAAAGTCTCTGTCACCACCCAGCAGTGCATTATTAAAGTTACTCAATCTAGAAATAAAACAATAGTTATCAATAACCCTGCCACAAACTTAGAGAACACACCCATAAAAAGAAGGCAAATATTGATAGAAACCCGGACATTCAAGTCTGCAGGTGCCAGCCACTGTTTATTTACCACATTTTAGACACACCTAACTTGGAAGGGAATTTAAGGACAAGAGGGAATTTGGGATTTGTCTGGGTATAATAATTCTACAGCACCCCTTACAGCAATATAAACTTCTGATAAGTGATTGTAGAAGAAGAAAAACCCCTACACAAAACTGAAAACATAAGACCAAGTAAGCAGATCTTATTCCACACCACAATGAGTGGTCTAGGAGCAAAGCTCAGCTCATGCATGCCAAGAGGAGGATGCAGCACTGCCACAGATTCAAGCAGAACAGTAACAGCAGTATTAGATACAGCATTAGGGTAGAAATAAAACTTTTCTTGAAGGCCTGTTTCATCTCAGCAATCCGCAATAGCTAACCACTTCTGTCCCTGGTCCCACCCGTAATACCACTAAATATAATGGTGTGTGCACACTGCTGTGCACCAGCAAAATAAAGGCACATCCTTTCTTAAACCACAACATTCAGTGTTTGCTTTCAGTGTAGGTTAAGCACAAACCAAACATGCAACTTAACAGAAAGGATCACCACAGCAGCCGAGGAGGAAGGCTGACCTACCTACAAGAGAGGGGTGTGGTGCTTGGAACTGCACATATCCTATTACAAACCAAAAGCCACTGCACCACCTGAAATCAAGTTTCTCAACACAGCCAGTTCCCTAGAGCCTGTATGATGGGGGGCTGGGGCCCAAAGTTAAGCACAGCAGTTAAGATGATGCAGACAATTGCTGTACATATAATACCAAAGTCCTACCAAAGTCAGATGTCTTGGCCAACGAGCTCACTTTCCACAGAAAACGCTGTTTAATAGCTTTTCCTTGCTGCTTCGGTATGCAAATTAATTATTCATATCTGTTATCCCAAATGAAAAGCAAAAGAAGCAGGAAGGGAGAAACTCCCATAATCTTACGGGTTTCTGAATTTCACCGTGAAGCGACTGGCTTTGATCCCATTCACTCAGGCTTCATTATGAAGCCTCAACTTTTCCAAGCTGATCTTGTGAGCATTGGCAAGCGTTAAGCAAAATGCACTTTGATGAAAAACAGTTTTACAGCACAAGAGTTTTTATACTTCAGATGAAATATTCCTTGGAAAAATGGGAGAAGGTACAGGCAAGGAAGCTAAGATGGTTAGAGATACTGCAGAAGTGCTAAAAAGGAAAGAAGATGCCACACTTCCTTGGTTTATTTGGGTATTTGCAGCATTATGTTTAGCATTATTTTAAAGTAAACCTGATTGCAGCAGCATTATATTCAACACAATGTAAATAAAAATATTATTTTAATTAATCTGTCACTTGCAGAATATATTACACGTGTGTGCCAACTGACTCTCCTACACAGAGACGCAGGAGTTGGTTGTTGTGACTTACAGGCTTTGAAAAAAGTGTATTTGCCCTACTCCTCCTTTGTTGTTCAGCGTAATTAACTGAAAGCCACACCATTAAAAGTGAAGGAAGCCTTGATCCTAGATAAAATTAGCTTGGTGAAGATAAGAAAAATAAATTAAGAAAAAAAAAAAAAAGTAAATCTTTATCTGGTTCATAGCAATCACACAAATCCATGAACCGATCCAAAGAGATACTGGAAGAAGTAGACGAGATGGGACTATGACTCTTGGTAATGGTGCTAGTTCACGTGATCGTACCAGTATTTGGGGAATCTGGGCTTTTAGGCGTGCCATGCTGTCAAGGGATATGGCTACACACAGTTTTGTTTGAAGACATTTCTCTATCTAGGTTGAAAACCTGAGTCCTGGAGGACAGAAAACTGGATTCTTCTGCTGTCAAGGGAGGGTTTAGTCTCACAGAGTTGCAGTTCCTCATTAGGCTGCTGATAGTAGCATCAATCAACTGTGATGCTGTGGAGTGCAGCTGCTATGATGAGCACAGCATTAAAAGATTAAAACAAAACCATCAAAAGAAAGGAAAGGGAAAAAAAGCCATCACAGAATCACAGGAGGTTGGCAGATGCCCCTGGAGGCCACCCAGTCCAGCCCCTGCTCCAGCAGGGCCACCCAGAGCCACTTGCCCAGGCCCACGTCTGGGTGGCTTTCAAATACCTCCAGGGAGAGAGGGAGGCTGCCCAACACCTCTGGCCTCATGCCCTGAGTTCTGCAGCCCTGCAGAAAGATGCTTTGGCAAGGCACAGATTTCTTATGCGCTCTATTTCAATGCTGCACAGTTATGAAAGCATCAATTACAAATAAAATAAAATGATAATTACAAAAAGTATGCTGCTTTGTACAAAAACCATGCTTCCTATGTTATACAGGAATGAAGAAAATTTTAGAAGTGGAAAGGTAAAGACAGATGCACAAACCTCTGGAAACTAATGTCTAAACATGGACCAGCTTGTGTACACGTTGTATGTCTTGCAGACCTTTAGTACAGTCTGAGGAGTTTGCATACACTGAAACAAAGCTTCATTATTGAGATGTTTGGCTTTCTGGATACCTAGTCTAGGTACACAATATAGCATCTCTACAGCTTTCTGCAGTGAAACCCTGAGGACTAACTGAATCACCTACAGGTGGTATCAATTATTTAAAGTTATCTAAGCTGAAATTATTAAAAATATCAAAACAAAGTAAAACTAGAACTCAAGAAGGAGGAAATGGATAGCTAAGTAATATTTTAATTATTTCAAACGTTTTGCTGTAATAATGGTTATTACAGTAAACATGCTTTAGTACATTTTAGTGTTAGCTTTAATTCGAAATGTTAGGAACTCCTTTTATTTATACTGTTTTTACACTATTTAAAAGATTTACATTTATTTTCACAGTCAGAAATTAATGATCTTGTGACCAGCATGATCTATTTTGAAACAACAAAACACATCCTAAATTTGTTAGAAAAATGAAAGCCTCAGCCTTTTCTACCCTCATTGAACAGAAAGCTTAAAAAGTGGAAATAAATTAGCACAATTAATGCAGGAGAAATAGGCTACCAGCTAAATAGCTTGTACCTACCTTCAAGGTTAGATTGAATGCTTATTTTTTTAGTAAAAATTTTAGAAATTAAAGACAAATTAAATGAAGTTCCTTACTCCTTCGCTATGATTTTGGACACGGGGAATGAAGTCACTGCATACAAGTAATCAAGGAAGTGAGAAAATGGATAAATCAACAGACAGCAAGGGACTGACTGGAGAGGAGGATTTACGAGGAACATGAAATTAAGTTCATTTAGACCTGCTGCGCCAGAACAGCTCTCTGGGACTGCAGCACTCACTTGTCATCCTCTGCCAAGCAGAGCTTTCCAGCTCTCTCAGATTGCCCTACCAACAGAGCTGTTTATGCAGTCATGTTTGATGCTGTCAGAATACTAAACCTAATTCATCTAAATTACTGACATAACTGCAGAGAAAAAAGCAGAGAGCATTACATTGGCCTCCCAAGTACATATTAAGACCTTTAAGTTATTTATAAAAATACTTCAGTATTAGTCACTGTTGTCCTTAAAATCCGTTATTAGCATGCTGACTAGGTTCTGCACAGTATGATAGAGTGTAGCATGTTTTAGAGCTTGGAAATAAATCATTTGTCTTGATTTTCCCTCGAGATTAACTGATTGTACCAGTATTGCCTTCTTCTTCCTCTGCTGATGTTTAACCTTCTTATCAACATTGTAAAGCTTTGCTACATTACACGAGTCCTGTGGAAGACGTTGAGCAGCTTGTTAAAAGCCTCAGTGCTCACTTACTCAAGGAATACTCTCTCAAACTACAAGGGTAGGATTTTTTACACCAAGAAGTATCAGGCAGTGCTTCCCAGTCCACCTACAGCCACAAACCACAAAATTAGCAAAGAATGTAACATAAAGCTTTTAGGAGGGAAGAGTTACTTCTATTAAATCAGTTAATTAGGAATTAAAAAAAAAAAACAAAAAACGCCTCTGAGGCTTTCTCTCTTCAGTGCAGTAACCAAACCTTCCTTTACAGATCTGAAAACAAGAGTAGCCCACAAATTCTATTGTGCCCAAACCAGCATAAAAATTTGATCTGGACAGGTGCAAGACAAATCTATTTTATCATTCAATTGACTTATAATAGTATAAGTAACCTTTGTAAGAGATGGAACTTCAGATGTTTTCTTTAAAATTATGTAAGTTCCCCTACAGAATCACTGGGTTGATCTCTTCCATCTTGTTCACTCACTGTGGTCACAAGCAAAAATCATACCTCTGTAAAGCGAAAACAAACTGCATCATACAAATAATTTCTTTCTTTCTATACAATTCCTGGACATGGTGCAGAAACTGGTGTAAATTTGGGAACAGTGGAAACTGGTGTGAATCTAAGGAATCGGACTATCACACTACCCTCGCCAAAAAACATCAAATGAATACTTGCAAGATTCAGTGAGTTACTTGACTCCTTGTATCCTCGTCTCTGAATGATTTTAAGAGTCTTCTTAGGCCTCCAAATTACTAAGGATATGGACACAAAAATTAGTTTCTTTCCTAATGAGAATATGTATTTTTTTCTACATACAAATAAAATCTACAAAGCAAACCAGCAAGAAAATAGCATCAGGACTCAACCTGGGAACCCTTCATCAAACTGTTAAGTGTTTAGAGCAAAATAGCCCTCATCTACAATT